GCACAGAATGTGATGGGCCTGAAAACTTTTAAGCACGCAGTCCAGCCCACAGCTGTGATCTAGTCCATGCAAACATACTCACTGAGCCCACTCCAAGAGATACACAGCAAAGCCACAGCAGTGGGAGGGGACGTGAAGATGAAAGATGAAAGATGAAAGATGATGTTAGGATGCATAAAATAAAAGTCAAAGAAAAGTAAAACATGTGGTACCGAAACAGTAAACACGAGAAATAAGATGAATCAGTAAAAAAAAGAGGATAAAGAAGAAGAAGAAGCGGAGATGCTGAAATGGGCATGCATGTAGTTCGGATGCTGAACACATGTATATCTCACATGCTGACACGCAGGATGTGGACCTCTGCGCCATTCACCCTCCTTACCTGGCAGCAATGTCATCATCCTCTCCGCCCCAGCCCCAGTACTGGTTAGGGAAGCCATTCATCTTCATGTACTGGTCCGGTGTCACTGCAGACACTCCACCAAAATACTGTGGGTACGGCAGCCTGGGAGGGTGAAATCGCCAGTGTGCAATCTTAAAAGTAAAGCCTCAGCACAATACGTCCATCCACGCACACATACACACCGTGCTTCTACCTGTATCTGAACTTGTCCATGGCCACAGACAGGTGTGTGGGAAACTGCTTGTGGCAGGTGTAGGTGTTGTGGTCGTTCTCAGGCAGCAGGTCAACATCATGAAGGAAGATGCAGCTCCAGTCTTCATCTCTGAGGGCCTCCCGCACCCCAACGTTCAGCAGCTTGGCTCGGTTAAAAGTACCGTTCCCCCACTGAAGTTAGAAACAGAGACAGATGTTAAAGGTCCATTGTGTAGGAGTTAGTGGCATCTAGCGGTGTAGTTACAGATTGCAAATTCCTCGCTTCACCCTCCCCTTCCATGTGCAGAGGAGAACCTATGGTGGACACAAAGTGCACGAAAAAAACCCAAACGGGCCTTTCTACTGCCAGTGTTTAGTTTTTTACATTCTGGGCTACTGTAGAAAAAAAATGCTCATTCTAAGGTAACAAACATAAGCATAACAACATGTTTATGTTGTTATGGGTGAACTGACCCTTTAAATCAGATGTTTGCCTCACTTCATTATTATATTCTGTATAACAGTATTAAACCAGTATATCTGGTACTGTACACCAATAATACAAAGGTGTTACAGCCACTATTATACAGTAATATACCAGTATTACACAATGATAAACTAGTTATATATATACATGAAATACACCAAACAAATAATACTTTAGTAGTACCAAAATATTACAATATTCATATACTGATAATACATTAGTATTATGTAATAATATAAAGTAGTTATACACTGGTAATATACCATAACAGTGTTAGACTGGTATTGTTACAGCATTAACACCATTATTATTACATAATGCTACTATTATCCTTGGAATATTTACACATGTAACACACCAGTTTTACACTCATAACCTAACCTGCTGTACTATATAGATGCTGTAGTGGATCTGTTGTCTTTGCAAGAAGGGGTGAAGGTGGTAGAGGAGGGCACGGAGATGAGTCTGCCGGTTCCGGTATGGTACCACTATCGCTGTGTGGTGGCGGGGTTCACAGTCTGGAGGTCGGTAGCGTCCGCCCGGCAACACCAACGGATTCCTCTGTCTGATCTCCTCCAGAGACAGAGGAGAGGAAAGATGGACAGACACAGGTCCGACTGGAGGAAAGAAATGGAAATTGATTGATTGACAAACAGCTTAGCAAAATCCCACACAGCTGTTCAAAGAGCATTTTACTGTATATGTATATGTTGCATAGAACAGCACACATTTAACCCCTCTGACTCTCTCACCCAGCAGTGGGGAGGGGATCTGGCAGTCTCTCAGCGGCGGTCCCGTGGCAGGGGGTCCAGTGCCAGAGTTGCGAGGCGGGGGAGGCGGAACTCCCAGATGACTGAGGTTGGTATAGACGTCATGAGGTCGGGAGTAATCAAACTCCGGCTCTGTGGTGTGCACCAGGACAGACACCAGGCCTCTGAAGCCCCCGAGGGAGAAATAGAGAACAAAGGCAAACTGGAAGCCCACCAGCAGGGCTAGTGTGCACGGGGAGTCCAGAGAGCGCCCAAAGCACGCCATAATAACGGGAGATTGTAGAGGTACAGTGAAATTCAATGTGGGGGAAATGGATGGGAGGAATGGGAGGAGAGATGTGTGGGGGAGGAAGAAAGCGGGCAGCTGGATGATGAGAGTGGAGGAAGAGGTGGGAAATGAGCAAGGAGAAGCAAAAGGAGAGGAGGGGAAGGAGGCAGCGCTGAGTGCAGACTCAGGCGTACAGGAGGGGGGCGTCCATCTGTAGGAATGGATAGCAGTGGTGGTGAAGCTCAGTCAGCACTGCCATCACCTCCTGACCACGGACGTCACTGAGAAGGAAGAAGAACGTTAGTTTATTTCATATATTGCTTATTATTATTATTGCATTACTTCAGTCTAAATGTAGGTTACCTGGATTTGCAAGGGCCTAACTAAAACCTGTCCTGGGCCAGGAAGGGCTCACTCCACATCTCTCCTCCTCTTCCTCCTTTCATCCTCAAACTTTCTGTTATTAAAAAAAAAGACTTGAATGAGTAGCAGCACAGCAGCAGATCTGTCTCAGCACGACTGTGTAGTCTACTGTAAGCTAAAAATAAGCTGGGGAATGACAAGCAGCTACAAACAAATGTCATGTTTGCTTCTTTATTTAGAAGGGCTTATTTTCAGCACTGACATTTCCATGGGGCATGCATGGGAAGAGACGCTTATGCCTGCAGATCTATTAATCCAACATCCCAGTTCCCTGTTAGCCCCAACAGTGCTACTGCAATGGACTGGATGCATCACTGGAGCTTAATTTTGTCAGACAGGAAACTCAAATTCATTCAAAAATAGATCAGCGTAGAGCAGGAACAACGGTTATCAGTACAGAAAGCCTTCAATCCAGATGATTAGCCTATCAGCATCCATCGTTAGGGCCTGTGTGTGTGTGTGGGGGGGGTGCAGGCTATCCTATCCTGTAGCTCCAATGTTTACATTTATTCGACAGGATCACTGGCTACAAGATTTATCCTCCTGCAACAAAGAGTGTTTCCTAATTTGCAGTTATTGTTGTTTTAATTAGAGGCTCCATGCGAGCTCTGCAGCACCAGCCGACTCACCAGCACATCCCTGCGACGTTTCAAATCCAGCCCCCGGCTTCCTCCGAGCGTCGACGGGCCGCCGCCACCGAGGAGTAGACGCGATGGACCAAAAGATACCGGGTGTTTCTTGGGGTTTTTTTTGCTGATGCTGGTCGCTCTTCCTCCCTCTCCTCCTCCTAATCTCTCATCCGATGCGAAATGTCTCCGTGGCTGCTTAAAGACCGCTGCAAACGCCTTCACACGCAAGAGCATCGCCGCATATCCGTCCGGTGTCAACACGGGCAAGTGCGCTCTGCCTCATCGCTGTATCATTGAATCAGATGGGCTGGGGCGCACGGCGGTGACGCGCCAAGCGGCATATTTGAAAATGAAATGATAGTTTTGACTCTGATTGATGAACGAACCAAAACTTGACCACACACAGTAAACGCCGATTAAAACGCTGGATGCAGTTATAAAAAAACAAAAAACGCTTGTGTGGATGTTGGATCGGCCATTATACAGCAAAATGTATTTTCTTTTAAGATATTGAGTGCGTTTATATGTGATCTAATATAAAAGGTTTTTACACTCCAGGTTTCTGATCATCTGTGTGCAGATGTGTCATAATGTCTCACCATCTCAGCCACATCTCAGCCTAAAAAACCTGTTTATTGCCACATTGCGTTTACATGCACACTAGTATCCTGCTAATACTGTCCTACTATATTCTGGATATTGAACATGAAAACCTGATTATTCATAATTTATATCCCTGTAGAAACCAGGATAAGGTGTTTACATGTCACAGTATCCTAGCTTCTAGGTTTCTCAAAACCTAGATTAGGTTTTATCCAGGTTTCTCAGACCAGGATATTAATGTAACCCTGACACTCCAAAAAACTTCAAACCCCATTTAGATCCACAACCTCCAATACAAAACTGCTTAAAAGGTCTAATTATGGAGTTAATAATATTAAACGTCAGCTGAATCAAAATGTTCATCAGAATTATAATGATTAATGTGCAGTCTGACTTATTACAATATCAGACTACATGATCTACATTATTTTAGTCTGCATGTTGATATGTGAATGTATATCATTTTGTCAGTGTGAAAATGTTCTGTAGTAGGCAGTGGGACTACTTTTTTTAAAAACATGTTTTTGTTTTCCTGTGCAGATTCATGAAGGAGAATTTTCTGTAGATTCCTCCTTCACTTTGCCATTCTTTTCTCTCTCTCTCTCTCTCTCTCTCTCTCTCTCTCTCTCTCTGTGTGTGTGTGTGCGTGTGTGCGTGTTCATCTGTGTTGAAGATAGTCTTGTGCAAAAGCACCACACAGAAGAGCTGTGGGAAAGAGCATGAAATTGTGGGCTTGAATCCAGCGCTGCAGAGACAAAGAAATCTCACAATACCGCGGGATGTAGTAAAGTAGTTGTGGCTAAAAACAATTCTGACACAAAAGCACATACAAAACTCTAAAAACCACAGAACATCAATTAAACACCGGTACATTTTTATGATTTTCATAAATTAAAAAGGCTTCTAGTCGAGATAAGTCACTGTTGAAGAAGCAAGAACTATTTTGACTTTATTTTCCCTTTAAAGATATCAGATGAAATTCTCTTATTGAAAATGATTTAAAATTCAGGACATTTTAAGGCATTTTAAGTACCTGATGACACCCTGCCCACAGTATCAAAATTATATTAACTATGTTTACCATTCCGGATTTGGGAGAATTCCACCTCCCAAAATCCCCTACAAAAGTTTAAAGGACCAGTTTTTGTCATACATTGAATGTAATCTGAACTTGTTTATATATGTTTGTATTATAAATTGTAAATTATAAAGTGTGGACTCAAACTTCCTCTACACAAAGTGATATTTCTTCTTTATTTCTCACACAGCATCCAACCCAGGGGCATCAGTTGTTCTCTGGCTTTATGCAGCAGGCTAAAAATGTCTTTATTCACATGCAGCAGTGGCTTGTCAGATTACAGAACAGGGACAGGACAGAATACTTATTGCTAGAGTAGTTCCACATAGGTCTACCAACATAAACAGCCTAAGCCTCCAATAACCCTGAAGCAGATAAAGCATAACAGAAAAACTGTGCAAAACAATGCATCAACACTAGTATTGTTTGTAGCACTACATAAAAACACTGCCCTCATTGTCTCAAAGCAAAGCGGATGTGTGTTTTCTCTAAATGACTCAGTGTCCCCTCAAGGAATACTGTTTTAAAGTATCATACAGACAGCATAATATTAGTCAAGGCACAGAATAGACTCCTTACACAGGCAGGCTGGTGGTTCAGGTCCCTCAGATCAATTAGAAAAGATGATGATGATGATGAATACCTGTTGCCGTTTTATCAATCAACTGCCATGATATATACAGAAAAGTTTGAACTGGTTAACTTGAATAATAGTTTAAACTTTTTGAGCAATTGTTTTTGTGTCTGTTAATGGTGGGAAATAGCCCCAAATCTGTGACTAGTTGTTTATTAATACAGTATAATTTAATCACAGAGTTCAGGGCTAAATGGCTTCGGACCAGTGAAATGTGATGCATCTCCCAGATCAGCACACACAGAAAGTCATACAGAGCACCTTTTCTATGTATATATATAAAAAAAAATCTATAATGCATTGCTTTTCTATTTAATCATGATCTTGAAGTGTTAATAAAACAAAAAATGACTTCTATCACAATAAGCACTATTGTGTAAAAAAAATGGAATGAAATGCTTCACAGGTTTTCAGTACTCATTTTTTCATCGGTTTAGGCTTGGGGAAAAACACTCTTCTCAGACAGTCTCATCCATTTCAGATGGTAAAACCTTCAAAACCTTCAATTGAAAAATGTGAAAACTCAGGTGAAGTACTGCAAGCGCTTTGCTTTCCACTCCCTTCAAGTTATGTGATTGTATTTCTCACTTCTCTTTCTATTTAATCAATGTATTGCCCATCATCTCCATCCTCTCTCCAATAATGATAATAATAATAATTATAATAATAACCTCAAATATGCAATCCTTTCCCTCTATCTCTCAAGTTTTTTATTATTTAAATTATCTGCTGCTCCTCCTCCATCCTCTTCCCCTCACTCTCTCCACCTCTCAGTATCCCCTTTCTTTACTTTTTGTAGTTGCCAAACTGAATGGCCAGCCGGTCGCTGACACAGCGGAACGTGGCAGGCTGCACCTCCCAGTAGTTGACAGGGTTAGCAAACAGGCTAATGCCGTTATAGAATGTCCTCTTCATCCCAAACCCTCGAGGGCAGAAGGCATCCACACCCACCTGGTTGATGTTGTTGGAATGGAGGTACACCACCTGGAAAGCAGGAGTGGCGACGGAGAGGGTGAGTAGAGCGTCGTGTTAGATATTCAGTCTCAGATGGCAAACAAAATGTGTGCAAGTTAGACTCACCTGTAGGTATTTCATATCTGGGAGGCCTTTGGGAACACGAGTGAGGCGGTTGTTGTCCAGATGTAGCTCTCTCAATCTGGGGAGGTAAGACAGACTGCCGTTCTCTATGTTACGGATATGGTTATAGCCAAGGCCCAACCTGGAAAAAGTAAGACAAGGAGAGAGACGTGAAATAGGCAGAAATTAGGCCGCTGCATGGTACATTAAGCTTAACCGTTTTACTAGTGTGAACTGGGGTAAATTCCCTGATAAATATCATTGCAACAAAAGGACATTAAGCAACATGAGGATTAGTGCCTCTGCAGCCTGCCAATACTCCTGTGACTATAAATAACCACATTATAGATTAGAGGTGTGATAAGGGAACAGAGAAGACAAGAATAACTTTTCCTACTATAACAAGTCAAAATATCTGCTGTGAAAAGGCCTAAGAGAAACCAATTTAAGGTATTTGTCGAAAAGTTTTCTCTCTACATTAGATGAGAGGGAGAGACTGCTATTATGACTAGAGTGGGAAAGCCCACACAAGCACAAACTATCATTTATCCTGCTATTTCTTATGGCATGTCAATGTAGTTCATATTATTACCCCTGAGGGGCACTGCTGACTGGAAATGAAAAACTCAGATAAGCAAATCCCTCGGGGTGCAAGAAATTAGTTTTGGTTAGTAATGAGTATGATGTTGAAGCTTTAAAGATACCTGTACAGGTTTTTGTAGCGGCTCAGGTCCTCCAGTTCCACAGCCTGGATCTCGTTGTGGTCCAGGTGAAGCTCATGGAGACTGTCTGGGAGATCTGAAAGAACACCATACCTCCACTTTAGTGTGAGATTGGATTTTGTCAATTTTTGTGTCCTATACCCCGTTGCCCTTTTTTTCCTGTATTGACCCTTTGGATTCTAATTAGAGGTATTTAAAGGAATAGCCATTTTGTGGAATGCGTCAGTTCTTAGAGTTAGAAGAGAAGATTGGTAGCATTGTTGTCTGTCAGTAACAGTAAATATAATAGCGGCCAATTAGCCTAGCTTAGCATAAATACTGGAAACAGGGTGATACAGCTAGCCTGTCCTTTCCAAAGGTTTTAACATTATGCATACCAGAACCTCTAATACTCACACATTGTATGTTGTTTGTTTAATGCATACAAAAGTGTAAAAATGACAATTTGTGGTTTTACGGTTGGATACATGTCGGACTATTTCTTGGGTGGGGACAGCAGTTGCCAGGCAGCCGGCGAAGACATCATTGTATGGATTAAACAAACAAATTACCTGTGGACAAAGCCAGCAAGTGGTTTCCCTTTGATTCTACTCTTTGTGCAAAGCAAATTGGCTGCTGGCTTCATATTTACAGACACGAAAGAGGTATCAATCTTCTCATCTCAGTGAATAAGAATATTTCCCAAAATGCTGAAGGTAGTCTCAAACAGTGTGATGCCCCATTGGAAATGTGTTAACCACACAGATGGCTTGTTACCTTTTGGCACCCCAGTAAGTTTGGCCTCTGATATACGCAGATAATTTAGTTTCAATCCCTTGAAGGCTCCAGGCTCAAAACCGCTGTTATGGATGGGGTTTGCTCCCATTTCTGCAAGATGAAGGGGATATTTGTGGCATGAAATAAAATACAGTCTCTTTAATCTTCAAAATCCAATGCCAATGCTATACAGTGGCAAAAGCAGTGGTGAGCACCACCGAATATAGCCTGAATTGGTTGAAGTCATCAGCGTTTCTGACCTATGCAGTTCATGGTGCCCAGCCCTGAGAAGGCTCCAGCTGCCACTTTCTTGATGCGGTTCTCGTGGATCCTCATCTCAACCAGAGAGGCAGGCAAGTTCTTGGGGATAGTGGTCAGCAAATTCTTGGAGAAGTAGAGCTTCTGCATGTGCTTCAAAGGCACGAATGCTCTGGGGTGGACTTTGGAAATAAGGTTATTCCTCAGAGACAAACCCTGAAAAACAATAGTAATCATGGAGAGGCAAAATTCAACACTCACTTTATTTGATTTGTGTGAAAACATCAGTCAGAAAATGAAAAGAAAGTGAAAATAATACCCAGAATGCACAAGAGCTTGTGTTTGCGTCTTCTGTCTCTACTGAATGTGTTTAAGTAAATTAAAACAGATCTAGGAACAGTTCACTGCACTCCAGACTGTCTCTCCACCTGCGCTGGCTGAAAGATGGAGACAGATGTAGGCTACAGTAAACAGACCCTAATAGAGATGCTATTGTATAATGTCATGTTGGGAGTTTCCTCTGCTGCCAGACTTAATATTGCTCTTGGTCAGCGCTCTTAAATGCTGGTCAGGAGTGAGCAAAGTTGTTCTGCTAAGAGAGGCAAGGATTTGAGCTTGAATACTCGCATTTGACTTTGGGCTCAAACTTAATACAATTAAAGCTCTCAGAGCAAAGGGCGGTGGAGGGCAAAAAAGAAAGGAAATGAACCTCTAAATCCCAGAGGAAACGGAGGTTTATAATGATATTTCACTCTACCAAAGCCAATACAAGCTGAGCTGAATCGGTTACACATCCTTGAGAGGTGCTTATCTTATGCTGAGAGGGACATTATGAATGTGACCAGCCTGTGTGTGTCTCTTACATATAAGTTAGTGAGGCCTTTGAAGTCATCCTCTTTGAGCTCAGTGATACGGTTGTTCTGCAGGTCCAGGAACTTGGTGTCCCGAGGAATATTCTTTGGCACCTCGGTCAGACCTGAGGAGAAAACCAATAAAAACACAGAGGGGAATCATACTCCATTAAATTCTTCCATGGATGACTGTGAACCAACACCCTAAAAAGCTGTTTGCTTTCAATGGGCAAACTCTTAGGACATCTTAGTCAGACATAGACCTTGGAAAATAAATAGTCACTGGGTTTTTTAAAACCTCCATCAGGCCTAAAAATGAACCCAATCACACTCCCACACAATCTCAAATGAGCACGTTGGGGCTCCTCGTCTATTATTTTAATGAGTGGTGAACATAGACACAACCATGTAGGTCACACGTCAACGCAGCACATAACTAACACTTTGGGACTGACAAAGACATGGACACACGTGCACTCTCACACACACACAAATGCAAATTCCCCTCACACCAGATGGGGACACCAGATGTGTTTCCCATCTGGTTTCCATTTGACAGAAGTCACAAAGGATGTGACTTAAACACCATGAGCAAAGTAAAAGGGAGACAAGGGGCACAACCCTGGCACACACAAACAGAGACATACTGGCTGTGTGTGTTAATGTGTGAGCGCTGAAGCTGTCATTACATGTGGAAACAAAAGTGTCCTAATTCTTTGTGACAGAAACACCTGCTACGAAGCAGCGAAAATGTGCAGTTAGCAACGTCAGTGACAAGCATAAACACCAAAAGCTGTTATGGTTAGTGTTTTTTATGAGTATTGTTTACTAAGCAGTAAATGCACAAAGTACTAAAAATGGGTTACAACAAGTGGATAGCGTTAAGAAATACACCTGCATTATTCCCCTCAGTGATCTCTCTGGAAAAATGACTCAGCACACGCACAAACACAGCAACCAGTGATCATTAACAAGACCACATCACAGAGCCACGTGGACAAGCACATCAGATGTGGTCAATGGCGCAGACAGGCCACGGTAAGCGAAGCTCGACCTCATCTGGAGCACGACCATGATGCAACCAGACTTGCTGGTGAAAGCGCCAGCTGTCCCACTGGGATCCAGTTTGCCACCAACCACATCTGACCCACAGGACTCTACCCAGAGCTGTCCATCTAGAGTTAAATTTAGATATATGGCTTTGGCTGTACTGTGCCACACCCTCTGTGTCACCACACAGGATCAAACCCTCAGCAGCTCCCTCTTACATTCAGCTCAAACCACGTCCTCGCAGTGCTGGGAGATCTGGAACTTTATAGCATAGCTTGATCCAAGAAATAAGCTTTTTGCCTTCAGGGAGCAAAGATACATTCATTAAAGTTACGGATGAAAGCTCAAGTTCCAATTATAAACCAAACTCAGTCTCTATGATTTACTTTTCTCAAATGTGATGAAGTTATTACAGCTGCTGTGAGAGAAATAGGACCTCAGAAAGTGCGGAATGTTACCAGGTGGATTCATGTGGTAGGAAATTTTTACCTTCCAGTCAACACCTGCAGCTTTCGACATGCATCCTGCCAGCTGGAAACCTTAAAATTTATATGCCTGCATCAAATGTAACAGACATGATAAACAGACCTGAAAAAACTTTCACCAACATCCTCATTAACTGAATCCCTTAACCCACTAAACCCCAAACCACAGCGCTTCACCATATCGGCCACAAATCTCAAAGCCTGTACCGCAAACTGACAAAACTAGCACCCTCTTAAACCCCAGCGCCCCTTCAACACAAATACCCGACATCATGCTGGGATGCTCTCTGAGAGGAGACAGACGCCACCGCTAAAATACATCTGCTCTAAATAAGCACTTGACATCTCGGAAATTATACGCTTCCACATTTACCCTCTGCAGAAAGACCAGGGACAGTAAATATATAGAGCCTGTAAAATGATGATTCGACAAAACCATTATGTCTAAACACAGACAGCTTATTAGAGTTATATAGCTAGTATAATGTGAGGAATCTTTATATCCACAAATACAACTGGATGCAGTTTCTTTGGTCCTGCGAGAATAAACAGAGGAAGAATAGCATGCACTTACAATATCCACAGGAAATTGTAGCGTATGCTTGTATGGAAACATGACTAAAATTAAGACAAAGACAGACTGTAAAAGCATCATGGAAATCATATTTTGATCATATGCAATGTTGATGTGTCAAGAAATAGCTGACTATTTTTATATGCTTGTCACTTCACTACAATAGCTTTATGTTTTTTTAGTGTAACTCATCACTGTGATTATTTGACATTCTCACGTCCTTATTTTTATTCAAAAACACCTCATCTGTACACATTAACACAACGTCTATCTGTTATCATCCTGTCCTTTTAATCATCTCCTTTATCTTAAACCTGTTTAAACTAACCCATCCTCCCCTCCATCCTCCTCCTCCTCCTCCTCCTCCTCCTCCTGTTTTGGCTTTCCTATTAAACATCCTTTCCACGTCCCAAAAACAACATGAAACAGTTCCTTTAAAGACAGTGAGGAAATTATAAACTTTTCATCTCCTCCCTTGAAAAGTGTCCCTTTTTTCATCCACTACTATGTCTTTCTCTCTCCCTCTCTTTCCGTCTGTCTTATTTTCTCTTCCTCCTTCCTTCTCCTGACTCAGTCTTCTCCACTCAAACCATCTCTCCCTTCCTTTCCCACCCAGTACACAAAGTCTGGGACACAAAATCCCTCAAAGACATGCCTCTCCTTGTCAAAATACACCAGCATTATCCCCGAGGAAGAAATTCCCCTCTTAGATAATACACCAAAGGGAGACTTTATTCTCTGGAGCTATCAAAGTCATAAAAGGCTTCGGGTCATGCTCACTCATTTGCTTTCCCTTCTGAACTTCTCCATACACACACATATTTAGAAATGATGACAAAGCATCACAGACATGCGTTTCTCTCTCTCTTTCTCTCCCTTTCTCTCTCTCTCTCTCTCTGTCATTTCACACACTTCCACTGACCGAGGTCAGAACACTGGACGACGCTGCGCTGACAGTGGCAGCCGAAGGGGCACATGTGTGTGTCAGGGGAGGGGATCTCCTCCACGGCTGAGCCTTCTTCCTCGTCCCTCATCATCGTCATCATCCCGCCGCTGTCCATGCTGTCCATGGCGAAATCCCAGAAGCCTTTCTGCTCAAAGGGCAGGGCCGAGGATGGGGAGAGGAGCCGGACCACGCATAGAAACAGCAGGAGGGAGCAATGTGGCAACATCTTTAACTTACACACCTGAGGAAACAAAAGGAGGAAGGAGAGCAGCTTTATTGTATATGAATGTTTACACTCAGTTGGTTTATTATACAATAAGCTAAAACTAGTGCAGTCTAATACAACAGCAGGACAATAAATCCTACATTCATGAAAGCTATAATGTTCAGTTTTTGTTGAAACAGTTTCATAGAGGTGTTGATTCAACTTTATAGTCATTTGGATGTATTTTGTTCAACCCCTTGAGAGTAGAAAGGAACAGTCATATGCACATGTCACATGTCTAAATGTCTGTGATAAATGTAAGGAAAGGAAGTGTATGAGCAAGGCTCAGTCAAAGCAGGTGACTGCACACATATCCCCAGATTCATGTGCATCAGTGGATATTTGGCATATTTACATGGCAGCATTATTACTTATTGTTTTATTTTATAGAGGAGCCTTGTGTTGAAATCTAGTTTGAAGAGCTTTATTATTATATTGTGCTTACGTGGCGCATATTCTTGAACAGAACTGTGTTTAACCCAAATGTCCTCATACTGACAGACACACAGAAAACCTGGGACCAGGTAGTTCTATTCCAGCATAAAAGTATACTGGTTGGTTTTTAGGGTAAATAATGAATAATGATGCTGCTATGTATTGTCTGTTCTTCTGTGTGCACTGTACTTAATGGGAACATGTGGGCATCAGAGTTAATACACAATGCGCAGAGAGTAGGAGGTGTGTGTGTGTGTGTGTGTGTGTGTGCGCGGTGTGGGGTGTCAACAGGGATCCAAAAGCAAACTTTTGCACAGGTTAATCCAGCCGTGTGCATGAGGGCTCTAAATTCATAGCTAAGGATAATGGATGATAAATGGACATTGAAATATTGTGAAATGGTCTGCTTATCCTTAATTACAAAGCACTACTGTTTATACCACACCTCACAGGCAGACCAGGAGCTGGAGGCTGGTGAGGAGAAATGAACTCATACCCCCAGGGAAATTTGCCAAGACTCGACTCTGGGAATGAAAGTCACTTAAACCACACTGACAAAATGTCACTGTCTGCTTCCCGCACACCGTTCTAAAGAGAGCATGTCTCTTCTCACTGGCCAATCAGATAGTCTAGAGGACATCACCTCAGCGGTGGAAAACTTTATTCCTACAACCAAGCAGTCAAACAAAGCCACCATTCATGTAGAGGGGAAACTGGGTGTGCAAATGCAAGTGCCTGTCTGTGTGCATGTACGTGTTTGAATGAGTATGCATGTCATGAAACACAGACTCCATGATGTCATAGCTGTGCACACACACACACGCACACACACACACACACACACACACACACACACACACACACACACACACACACACACACACTGCTAATTGAGGTCACCAGACATGTGAGCATATGTGTCTGTGTTTGTTTCCTTCCTTTATCCTGCCTGCACTGACCTAACTAAGACTCACACGCCCACTCAACAGAAAATCTAATTCCTAGAAAAACAAACTATTACCAGGCCAATTGATTCTTACCGCAGGAAATTGTGACCCTTGACTGAAGCTAATCCTATGAAGTCCAGTCCTACACGGGACCTTGGGGTGACCTAAAACCCTTTAATCTTTAACCCTGTTGTGTTAATTTCTTCTCTGATCCCTCAGCTCAGTAATCCTACAGCTGGAAAGTCTTGCTGCCAATGGTTAGCATGCAAATGGACTTTCCAGGGAAGTTTGAGGATCCTGTAGCAACTTGATCGTGCTCTCAGAAGAGAAGCAAAAGCAAATTTAGGCTGTCAGCATTTTCTGGACTGAGAGATAGACAATAGAGAAAAAGAAAGAGGGTGGGAGAGGGGGGGAATAACACAATAATAAATTAAAGTTGTCTTAGGGTTGGGTTTTTTTTGATATAATGGGAATTTGTACTATACTTCAAATATGACATAACATTTAATATCTCTTAACTTGAATCTTTATTTTGTCTCTTTGTGTGTTGCTTACTCCTTCTCCTAAATAGGACACCAGTCAAACACTTGATCTTGATCTCTGCCCTGCCTTTTTCACCTAATGTCCAAGGATATTTCTGGTAGCGCTGACTGTTCACAAGACTTTGAATGGCTTAGAAGGGAGACTACAATAATAAAGCTTGTGAGGGGGGTTTCAGGGGCTTTTTAATGTTGGGGGAAATGCTTCTCATTCCACATTTCATGAAAAAAATGTTCTCTAAACTGATACTGCCTTAACAAAAACACTCCACAAAGGAATGTGGTCAGAGTACATACATCACAGAGTGTGTGGGTGATGAATTAACAACACATGCTTATCAATTCAACTTCAAGACTTGCTGACTATTCCTAACCTCACATACAAACTGGGTTTAGAGTCCTGAATTATTTAAGACTATGCATGAGAAAAGGATCCATTTTCAGTCTGTTAAAGTTGCTTATGCAATCCACTGCAAGTGTTTTGCTCTATTCAAAGAAATAAAAGTATTATTTAGGGACATTAAAAAAAAGAAAAAAGGAAAAAGTAAAACAAAGAGCCTGTGCATGATGTGGACCTGGTCTGGGAGCATGAATAACTGGCCCCTGCAGTCTGCTCTCAGCAATAAAAATAGCTGCCAAATTATACCATTTTGCAGAAAAGAAAAAACACCACTAGCCTTGGCTTGGCCAGAAGAATGCAGCCAAAAGGACATAGCGAGGGCATATATGGTCAGCATCACACAATGACACGCAACACACAAAAGAACTGGGATACACACATTTTTTATACACCTACAATTTCTGCAGCTTTTTTTTTTTTTTATTTGCAACATTATGGGAGGTATAACAAGTATATATTGTAAATCTAAAAATGTGGCACCCAAGCTCTCGTCTGTGGAGCCATTTTTCATCCGTCCAACCAGTGATTTGTCAGCCATTTGCAGAGATGTGGTAGTGGATGGAGATTTGCAGACAGAGGTGTTGGATGATGGACGAGGGAGAAAAAAAAAGGGAGACAGGAACAAGAACAGCCTATCATCATCCAGGAATGACGTGTAAGGCTACTATAAACACAACATGACGATAAGACTAAACTACATCCCACAGTCAAGCTGCCTCTCTGACTCTAATAACCACTTTTATCTGGCCCTGGTGTGTGTACATATGGATTCCTCTCCTCTCCCTACAGTTAAGCTGTGAGCCATCAAACATCCGGTCTGATACGACAACAAACCGGAGGCTTCAATCTTAATTGTTATTGCCTCCGCTCTCCTCCCATCCAAAGGCCAAGAGTGGTTTAACGGATGGATGGTCGGGTGGCTATTCTCGTCTCGCTCACTGTGTTTGTCTCCAAGGTGCTGTGTGCTGTCCTGGGGGGGGGGCAGACAGAGAGACACCCCAGTAAAAATTTCAATTTAAATTTTGGTTCAAATTTACATAGCATCAGTGTCTGTTCTGTTCAAAAATCTTGCAAAACGCCTCCCGAGAAAAGTGGAGGCCGTTATAGCTGCAGATTAATGCCAATGCTTTTGAAATAATCTAGGTGTAATGCAGAGTTGTCCACATACTTTTGGCCATACAATCTTGCTTGTCCTACCTCAGTCTCATCTTAACATTGAATGAGATGGAGGCTTTTCTATCGTCTGCAGCAGCAATGATTACTTTCCTTCAGTCAAAAACAAAGAAGAGAAGAAACAGGAGGAAATTCCCTGTCTGTGTCAAAGGTGTGTCAGCTCATGTGAATCTCTCTCTCTCACACACACACACACACACACACACGCACACATAAACATGCTCATAATATAATTGTCTGAACCTCTGAAGGAGGTTGAAGCTGTCATAACAGGCACCAGAAGACACTTTTATTAAGATAAGAATTCCAGTAGTTTACGATTGGATTTGAAAGGTGAAAATAGGATTAGGGAAGACACAGATATGAGACAGGGTTCAGGGATGGCTATATGGATGGACCGATGCTGACTGCCAATAAAAGGCAGCAGTGTTTCTGAAAGCACCATCTGGTGAACACTCCATCCTACAAGTGTATCAGTTGTTTGAGTTTCCCACACCCGGTGTCTGAGATTAGCTTTGCATTTCCTATATGCACTATCCATCAAGTGGTGGGTACTTGTCAGCCATCACATCCACCGCAATTACTTTGAAGTGACGGGAGTTCCCACAAAGCATCCTTTTCCCTTGTCAAGCTATACAAACATATATTTAAGCTATATGCTCTCTGTATTGCCAAGAATAATCATCTACTCAAGATACTACACACAGTGTTTGGTCTCCCATGACCGCAGACGGGAGAAAGGCAATCAATGTTACCTCCCACCAAGACAGACACACACATCCCCTATTTTCTCTTGACTTATACAAATTGCTGCCACCTTTTCTCCACAGAGAAAGTTTTAATTGTTGACTGTAAAGTGTAAAATCATCAAATTATATATGCACACCACCTATTTCTTATTCACAGCTGCTGTTCTTGTCTGCCAATGCTGAAACCTTTTGGCATCGCCAAAGCCGGCAATGCCAAAATCCATTAAGCCTCTCAATATTGATCAAGACATAAAATGCTGCCTCATTTTGTCTTCGCATTCATATTTCGGAGCACATCAGCTCTGCTCTTCAGACTGTGGCAGTTGTGTGAACAGAGTTAAGGTGGGGCAGAGAGCTTACCAAAAGTGCCAGCTGGCACCACAACGTCGGTGTATTGGCTGCCGCCACGTCAACACTCAGTGTTGATTAGCATCACATGGTAGCTCAAAGTGATCAGAGTGCTGACTGAGCACAAAATATTTGACATGGCTTAGTATTGTGTTTCAGAGAATAAATCAAATTTTGGCAGGCGTTGCTCAATGGGATATTCATTTGTTTTCAGTTAAGAGTTTCATGTTTTTTTCCCAACCCATCATGTTATTCAAAGCAGGATCCAAGCAGCAATAAACTCTGACACCTAAAAAAAACACAAATGTAAAACTCACACAAATGTTTGCTTGTGGAAATGCAAGCTGGCCCAAACACATACTCACATGTACACATACAGTACTTAAACCCTCTATTTTGGTCTCAAAATCTGAAGTTCCACCTCCAAAATGATCTGGTCATTTGGCTGACCTCCCTCATTTCCTTGTGCCATGTCTCCTTCCTTCACCACACGTGAACACACAGACTGATAGGCACACACACACACACACACACACACACACACGCACACACGCACACACACAACCCAAATTCATGTACTCTTTAGACAGTAGAAGTTAGTGCTAGGCGGGTCTGGTAGGAGCATTCGGGTGGAGTTAACTGCCCCAGTGGCTGTAATTTGGTGACTGCTATCCCTAAAAAAAGGAACTGTTTGGCAGCTTCTCTGTTGCCGCCAAGCTTGGATGTGGTGGCAAGCTGCTCAACACTGCAGAGACGAAGCCTAACCAGAGAGGAACAGAGAGCAAAGCAATACAGGAAAACAAAAAAGGGCCAGATCAGTCAACATCTGACCTGAGGATCTGTGCCTGTGGGCAGATGAGCCTCATTCAAAGTATGTGGAGTATTCCAGAGATTGTGCCAGTTATAAGTGGGCTATGAATAGAGACTGTAAACAATGGCTGCTTTTTGAAAAACCAAAATGGAACAATCAGCAAAATTTTATTGGCAAAACATGGCAAAGACAAAATTTCCAGAGCCTGAATTTAAGTCTGACTTGAATTAAAAATTGTAAGAGTGAGGGAACATTTGACCACCGATTTGGCTGAACTGTAACTGATCAATGAGGGTACAAAGAACTCATCCCCCTTGGAACTTGAACAAGTTGTTTTATAAAACACAGACAGGAGGATGGACAGACAGGCAGAACAGACAGACTGGCAGGTGCAGGGTGGTCAACCCACAGGCTGGCTAATAGGCAGGCAGGCTAGAAGGTCAGGAAATAGACAGATTTAGACCATCATTTTGCCTGTCTGACCATTGACTCCACAGTCAGAAGCTCTCTTTGTACGGTAAGGTGACTCAGTTAACTACACTCGTACAATTGGCTCATACATGGTAGTTACGCATTGACTGGACAAGAAGTCATGAGCACAAGACAGAATGGGGCCAGAGATGGAGAAAAAAAGGACTGTATATTTGTTTGCATTATATTATGTGACAAAATATAACACTGCGAGGAAAAGAGCAGGCTATAATAATGTTCCTGCCAAATAAAGTTTCTCAGGCCACAGTTCTCTCAACACATTTCAATCTGAACACTGTGTGTGTGTGTGTGTGTGTGTGTGTGTGTGTGTGTGTGTGTGTGTGTGTGTGTGTGTGTGTGTTTGTGTGTGCAGAGGCTGAATTTGAGGGTAGTGCAGCCTGTGTACCAGAAGGGGTTGATTGGCACGTCTCACTATAATTATTCTTCCTAAATGATGATGCAGGGATGGACGTAAAAGACCCGCTATAAATGCCCTGTGTTACATTCCCAGTCTGATTAGAGCACAAGGGTGCATTGATTTGAGGGCGAAGTAAAAGGAAGGAACGGTTTTGCTTAAATTATTATCTCATCCACTAATGATAGCGCCAATCGCACATCCTGTGGAGAGTCGTTGCGCCATCTAGTGTAACCCTGGAGTACGAGCTGATCGAAATATCCCAGCATCAGATGCGCCATGCGCCAAAAGATGTAACAGGTTGTATGGATAATATACTTAATATAATAATCGAGAGGGGGGGAAAAACAAATAAATAACTTTTGACAGGTTATGTGGTGCAAAATATGTGTGAACAACATGACAACTTTAACTGAAAGTATAAAAGTTAAAATAAAGTCAATCAAAGTGCAAGTGTGAACTGTAGAGTTTGAAATCTACTAAAATCTAAATGATATGATGATATAAGTACAGTGTAAAAGTTTCTATAGGTCACATAGCCTAAACTTTATAATTCCTCATGCACACCTAGTGTTTGTATAAAATAATACTTATATAATATATGAAATAAACAAGTTGCCCCTGAATAGCACACATAATAAAATAACCGATCTCCCCTACCTTATGGACAGAAATTAGATATTAATTCCAAATTCCAAAAATAGTAGATTGAAGGGTGTTTTTCTCCCTCTGAGCGTCAGATTATCCTGAAGACTGTTGTCTTATATTTTCATCACATTTAGGGATTATTGCAGTATTTCCCCGAGGTCCTCTGACATCCAGCCGCAGCTCCTCCGCCACCGTGTGCCACTGCGAACCGTGTCAGGGTACCGTGTGTGCTCGTTCCAGTCCAAACCGAGGAAATGACTGCGAGCCGGGGGGGTCAAGCCCATAAAGTTAACAAGCCAGCCTCCTTTCTCCACTTTTTGTATGGAGAAAAGAAGAGGAAGAGGAGGAGGAGGAGGAGGAGGAGGAGGAGAAGGAGGAGGAGGAGGAGGAGGAGGAGAGGTACAGTACTTTTGTACTATTATAGCTGCAGTAATATGAGTTGTGTTACTTAAACTTAGTGGCACTCTTATGATAAAAGTGGCATCATAATATCATAGAAAACGTTATAAATGGGCTTATAGGAAGGACATAATATGTATTCATATTATGAATAGTCTAAATATTATGACAATAATATATTTTAAAAAAATTATATTTCATTACATTATTTGGTGTTATTTGGTGCATCCATAACTTATCCATGTATCCATATGTTTCCTAAAGAAGAAGAAAGAGAAGGAGGCGATGCTCTGTGTTTGAACTTTGTCTTAGAGGTCTGTAATTAATCGCTTTTGAAGACAATCTGGATAAAAGACATTGTAATTCTAGTACTGCCACTTAAAACACAAGCTAAAACATGGCATTGTCTGAAACATCTCAGCACTACAGTGCAATTGCAACATACAGTAGTACCATGGGGACCCACGGTAAGCCGATATTGTGGCTCCTGTAATGAAATCTTAAAGTTAAGAGCAACAGTAATGTTTCTTTAACATTCAACACATTTCAGTGGCATTAAAGGTCCAGTGTGTAACATGTAGGAGGCTCTATTGGCAGAAATGGAATATAATATATATGTTTTCATTAGTGTATAATCACCCGAATATAGGAATCATTGTTTTTCTTTTACCTAAAAATTAGTCATTTTAATCTCCAGATGTCATGTGTCGCCTTCCATGGAGTCAGCCATGTTTCTACACTAGCCCAGAAGGGAGAAACCAAACACTGTTTTGAGATAGGGGATTTTTTTTCTCATTTCGCAGCCACTGTAGTTTCTACTTCACACTTGGAAGCAGAGGGCGAAGCAAGTGAGTGGCAATCTGCAATAGATGAGAGCAGCCATAGGTCTCTTTCTTGTCTTCAGAATGACCACGCCCCCTTTTGGGTGAAACAGGAGCTGTAAAAGTGCCTAGTGGTAGGCTACTATATCTAAAAGCTTCTGCATCGCATTTTGCACATCAAACAGTAACAAAAAAAAAACTGTTTACGACTTTCTTTACTTCCCCAAAAAATGAAGGACAGTAAAAGAAGAGATGAAGAGTGGCTTTTAGCCATCTGCTGAGAGGATAAAGATGGTCAACTGTGGGACAGTTAATATCTGTTTGTGGCAAACAATGATGTTACTAAGTAAAGGACCTTTGTGCCGATTGTAACTGTGATGGTGGAACTAAAGTTTTTAATGTGAAAAAATACCATAAAACACTATTTGAATGGAGTTTGGGGGGCGCCCTGATAGCTCACCTAGTAGAGCCTGTGCCCCATGTACCAAGGCTGTGTCCTTGCTACAGCAGCCCAGGGTTTGAATCCAACCTGTGGCCCCCTTCCTAGGTATCATCGCCTCTCTCTCCCCCCTTTCCTGTCACTCTTTAGCTGACACTATCAATTAAAAGCAATAAAAGCCCCTAAAAAATTACAAAAAGAAATAAAAAAGAATGGAGAGTGGTTTGACAGTCTGGAGCAGAAGATCTTTTAACCTTAATAGTTCACATAAACTCAGCTGAGCAAGGTAGGAAATGGAGCTAAAACATGTTTTCCACTTCTGTTGGCTCGTCACTTAATAAACACAAACGGTGGTTCCGCTTCGCCACAGCGATGTAATTAGTTTACAGTAACATAACATTGGACAGACGACCAATCAGAAAAATAAAAAGTCTCACCGACAGAAACAATGTCAGATGTCAGAAATATGTGATTCAGTGAGGTAGTTGTGTATATCAGGTCTGTCAGTTTGATGGAGGCAGACTGGGCAGACCCTATTCAACACAATTGTTGAGGTAATGACATAAGATACTTGTTTGGCTTGCTGGCAAAAAGATTCTGGCTCCAAATAGTAATAATAATAAAAGTGATACGGTATTCTTATTTTATGCAATTAAATCGGCAAAGACTTCAGAGCTTGCATTTACCGCCAGTCAAATTAGAGGGGCTGCTTTTATTCAAAAGGGGGCAGGGGCTTGACTCAAGGCCAAAGTACCCAGATGGGCTGCTTTCATCTATTACCCTGCTAGATGCTACTAAATCCCAAACGCTGGACCTTTAAAACAGGTGGTAACACTTTATTTGAAAGGGTGCGCATGAGACAGACATGACACCTCCATAACCATGACGTGATACCTGTGAACATGAAGTCTTTATGAATGTTGTGAAGTGTCATTCATTTTCAATAGGGGTTAGGTTAGGTTTGATTAATTGACCAAAAGACACTTAATGAAACCCCAGTCATAAATATTTATAAAGATTCCTTCAATGTTATGATGGTGTAATATCAGTTTTATGTGCACCCCTTCAAATAAAGTGTTACCAAACAGGTTCTCCCCAGGACCTTTTTCTCCCAACATCACCTTAGTGACCAGGAGGTTTTGGAGGGTAAACCTACATAAAAATGTATTTAACTACCATTTTAATTTCTAGAAAATATTGTTGATGTACTTATTATGATGACAGAGATCGTAATGCTGTATATTTATTGCATACGTCCAAATTATTAACACACTGTTGGTCTGTAAGCCTAGAAAGACTCCCGGGTCATATTTCGTAAAGAGTTTTAGGGACCATCACATCACACACACTAACTTTAGTACTGGGAGAGAACATGGCGATACCACTAAGCTCTACCAAAATCATGCCGAAAACGTATTTCTAGCACTGTCATTATAAAACGTATGATTTTGTGTCTTCTCACGGTTTTCTATTAAATTTTGTTCTGGCAGGATGAAGTGTTTTTCTCACTGACTCTGATTTCCTCTCCGTATTGCCAGCACCCAGAGCGAGGCAGCGAGTTTGGCAAGCCACACCATCTGGGAACTTTTCCGACCCTATGCAAAATCAGCCCCACACAGACGTTTGTAGTTGTCTACACATTATCCTTGAGCTCTGCTGCTTCGGGAGCTTCAAATCCTAATCGCTTTCCTTATCATCTATATCAATATGAGAGGAGACTGACACTCCTGCCTGTCTTTTTATATGCATGTCATATGCCTTTCTTTCTTTCTTTCTTTCTTTCAAAGAGTGCCGTATCCACAGTAGTGGAGAAGGCATGCAGACCAGATCAATGCCCTGTAGGGGTGTTGGCAGGGAATAGAGTTTTGATAAAGGTCTTTGCAGATAACATTCCTCCCTTCTCTGCTTCCTCTCTCTCTCTCTCGGTTTTTAGATTCAGTCTTTCTCTCTGGTTCTCACTCTTTATTTCTCTGTCTACCCGTCGCTCCCTCTCTCTCTCTCGCTGTGGTTCAGTTGATTATGGTGTTGGTCTGTAGCTGGAGGGCTTGGCATCCAAATTAAACTCTTTTTGTCCTACGAGTGTTCAGCTAACGTGTCTCTAGAGATTAGCACACCCACTCGTTAGCTCTTGCGTAGGTGCTGCCATGCAGTTAATGTGTGTGTGCCTTCCTGTGCAGAAAGAGGAGAATAATATTAACCAAAGAGTTGTTTCTGTGTTTTTGGATTTGGAAGTCAGCCCAATAAAAATGTACTTCTTAGTCCTTAAAGTTGCCAGCTATCAAGGATGAGCACACCAAGGCTGATGGCCGAGTAGTTAGTTCTCCTACACACTGCAGGAAGAACATTGTTGTTGACCCCAAATAGTTGACCCTTAACACTGGAACCCATTATCATGTTCTAACAAAGGAAATGTCCTCTTTCTCCTTGCCTCTCTTTATCTGCTTGTGATGCCCATTTGACTCAGGAAAAGAAATTCTTTAACTGTTTTTCTCTGTGTGTACTGGTGCTTTTTATTTTATCAGCCAGCACTCCCCCGCTCCTCCAATAACAAACACAGGAAGCTGCTGTCGCCGGGTAGAACAGACAGAACATGGGAGAATAAAAGCACTACACCGCTCTACGGTCAACCTCTTACACACGGGCTCTGGCCTCAGCTCGACGGGATGCGAAACATCTGTTGGGAGTGATGGGATGTCGGTTTAACAGTTTGGTCATGTCACATGCAATATGATGGACGTCAGTGAAGTGGCAAATCTGTTAAATTTGAAGATGTGAAGGCATGATGGGAAACTGCAAAAAGAGGACTGATGAGTTTGGCTGTTTTTGTGCAGAGTTTCGGTTCTGCCTCTACGTGTAGGAACTGCAGTATAAATGTGAATGTGGAGTTTCTTAGACAGTAATGTGCTGTTTGTAAAATGACTGTACAATTATGGAGACTGCACCACATGCACAAGACTGAAAGCAGAAATCTAACATGTGATTACACGCCCAGGCTGAGAGAGTGAGACGTATAAAAACGCGCGTGTTCATATCACGTATTCAGACCATGCATGGTCTCTGTGCTCTCACAATCTTGTTCACTTTGTGTTTGCCTCTTAATAACCCAGCTCCATTCTCTCTCTTATTTACGGTCTATCTCTCTCTGCCTCAGTCCTTCTCCCTCCCTCTCTTGTAACTGTAGCGTTTGCAGGGGACCTTCTGTTCTTCATTTAGAGCCGCAGAAAACACTGCTTGCTGTGCAAAACTCATACCTGGAGCCAGCTAGTCACCAGAGCAAGTGCACTGTCTGTAAATAACGACTTCACACACTGAGCACGACTCAACATTTTATCATTTTAATTATATTCATTAGTCTAAGTGATATACTGTAAAGTCTAGGCCTATTGTGTCTTTGCATGGGCGGTTTAACCGATTAAAGAGACTACTTCAACAGTGAATTGCTCGCACTTGCATCAGCTCTCATAAAATATTTAGTTTGTAGTTTGTTTTTTCTGTGAGACTGCAAATACAGATATTATGTTTGTCGCAGCAGGATTTGGTGTAAAGTAGCTGACTACATTGTGAATCAAGGCAAGTTTCTGGGTAATAATACAGAATGGGAGGAATAAAAAGAGAGGGAGTTGATGTTTCAGAGAAAACAATAACTAGAGTGCAACAGGGTTTTGCTTTTTCCTCGGGCTCTGTTATGTTATCATCAGGATGGTACCTAGCCCAGAAATGTTATAGACAACAAGGCTCTCATTCACACCACACTCGTACCACAGAGCTCCAAGCATCTCTGAAGGGGCCCGAGATCATAGATATGTTGAGACAGAAGAATGGTGCATTGTTAGCTGATTTTGTACTTAGCTGTGCAGGAGGAGGTGAGAGAGAAAGGGCATAGGGAGAGGGATAAAGATGGGCAGTCAGATACAATACTGGCAATAGATACACAAAATGAGAATGAGAGAACATTTAGAAGTCATTTCGTCAATGAGGTTGGAAAGACACCAGAGCTCCAGTGCCTTTAGTTCCTGGGAAACAGGAAAAGGGCTCTGAACACAGCCCTCTGCCTTCCTGCATTCTCTGTTTTGAATCTCCTTTCCTGTCACTAGCTTTGTCTTATTGGACTCAACTAGACATGAACTGCTGCTCTTCTCATCTTTCACTGATCGGCTTTAGAACAATCCCTGTATTGTGTGTTAAAAGTCAGCTTGTTGTTTGTCCCATAACCCCACTCTGCGCTAACATGTTCCTCGCCTTCTTCCCTCCTGCTAACCCAAATACTGGGCTGCCCTGCTTCTCTCACGCACACATACCTGCACCCCAATCACTGTACATAATCCTACAGTGTCTGACGTCACCTCTACATGTTTGGAGGCCCTGACTGAGGCCCCCCCTAATAGTCAGAGTGACTCTGTATTTTTACTGAGCGGCTGGTGGTGGATGTTTATGTTGGACCTCATCTGGTGATAGAGAACCTGCGTGATGTTTATATTTTCCTTCCTAATGGGCCTCTGAGGTTCACACTGTGTCACCAGACATTTTCATTTTCTCTCAGGGACCCCCATGCTGCAGTCCCAAGATCTGACTGCTTCATGACCCGTCGTATCTCTGTCACATTTCTACTTACCCTGATTAAAGACTCCTACAAGCCCTAGACTTAGACTAGAGACATGGGTTAATCCATTTCAGTCTTAATTTTCTCAAAAGTATCTCTTTAATACCTTATACTTAATGAAAAGACAGATTTTTGCGCAGATCAAGATTGCACTTAAATGATCTTTTTACACTTCCAGGAGCATTTTATATGATTAGTTCCATTACAGTGTATATTAGACATTTGCCTTAATACATTAAAAAAAGCATTACAGTCATTTTCCTAATCAAAGACAATATGAGAAGGAAAATGATGGGTTTGGAGATGATAAAATGATAGCACTGACTGACTTTTTTCGGAGCTTTTCATGAGGATGCACATGCATATATTGTGGGTATGTGTCTGTCTGTGTGGTCTACTGGTCGTATGAGTAACCCTGCTGTGGGTACAGGACCAGTCCCTGAGCATCAGCGAGACAGGAGAAGGCATTTGGGGGAATCCTCTCCACATCCAGCAGATTATTTTCCAAATGGATCGAAGCCAAGGTGGAGCCAGAATTACGAGGGTGGCACACTCCCCATTTCCTCAGCAGCCTGCAACCACAACATACAGACACATACATTAAGACATACTACATCTTGAGGTTCACATCTGTGGGTCTGAGTGAAATGTATCAACAGCTATTGGACGGACTGACATAAAATTTTCTTCACACATTCATGTCTCCCCCCCAGGATGAATTGCAATAACTCATTTCAATGGTGGTGCCCTTCCCTCTAGCACCATCATCACATCAAAATTTAAATTTGTCCAATATTTTGGGTAATGTCTGAATACCTGCTAAACAAATGAAATGGGGTACCCAGGCCTAGTGGTTAAGATGCAAACCATATAATAACAATGCTGACAATCTGATTACAACTGGGGACTTTTCTGCATCATACCCCACTCTCACCTGGGACTTCCCATTGACGTACAGTCATTATGAGCATGTTAACATGCTAAAATTAGCATTTAGCTCAAAGTATAGTAGACTGAAGAGTAGACTCTTGTTGAGATCTCTCCTTTGTCTTTCATATGAGAATAATACTTCTCATGTTCATTTTAACTTAGCAATGTGATTGTATTTCAGGAAATCTCCCAAGTAAGGAAATCAACCTTCTAACACTTGATGTTCATTAATTGCTTTGGTCACCAGTCTAATTGTGTTACATTAAAGGGGACACAGAGTCTGGAACAGTTCACAGAAAGTAATTGGAAATGTTTGTGAAAACATTTGTAACTGTTTTCATATCTATACTGATGAGGACTATTGTGGAAATGTTGGTTAGAATAAATTAATTTCCATAAGACACTGAATGTGGCACAATATATTCTTTGCTTCTTTGCCAAGCTCCTTAGAGTAATTACCAAAGGGAGCTGCACTAGCAGAACTAATGCTATTAGGACAGGATTGGCTAACAAGCAAAATAGCATTTAGCTTATCCCTGCATTACGAAAATCACATTAAACTGACTTTATGGAAAGTGTGATTCTACCTGATCTGGTTGTTGTCCAGCCTCAGCACCTGCAGGTTCTTAAACTGTCGAACACAGCGAGGTACATCCTCCAAACGATTGTTGTCCAGTAAAAGCTCACTCAGTGAGCGGTATGTTCCGACAAAAGAGACTCTTTCCATACCCTCATTTCTCAAGTCATTGTGGGATAAGCAGAGGGACTGTAGGCCGGGCCGCAGGTGACGGAACGCAAAGGCGGGGATGTAACTAATGTTGTTGTGTTGGAGGGTCAGATTACGGAGACAGCGAGGCAAATTCATTGGGACAGAGGTTAATTGGTTGTAGGAGAGGTCCAAGGCTTCCAGTGACCTGAGGGGACACAGAATAGTCATGAATCTCAGTCAGATATCTGCAAGGAAATCAAAATGATGTGTTCAATGAGTTCAGTAGCAGTCTGTTGGACAGTTGCTTGATGCACAACTTTGGTCCGGACTGAAATATCTCAACTATTAAATGGATTTCCATGGGATTAACTCCAGACATGCATAGTGTCCAGGTGATAAATTACACTGAATCTGTCGATCCCGATAAGTTTTTTACTTATCCTGAGAAATATTTCAGTATGTACTGGATGGACTGGCACAAAATGTGATAAATTGTAAGAACTTTGGTGATCCCCTGACTTTTCATCCAGCACCATAATCAGGTCAAAATTACTTGTGGACAAAATAACAGCTCAATGAATGCATTCCCATCAGCCTCAGCTGTAGTGTTTAGTGCTGTAAAATGTTAACATGCCAACATGCTAACCTGGAGATCATGGTAATGTTACACTTAAATGTATTAATGGATACCCACTTCCTGCATGTTTTATAGCTGGTGGACTCCTGCATAGCGCTGTTGGGGACTCTGCGAGTCAAGAGTGCAGAGTGGGAGGCTAGGCTGCAGGGGAGAAAATAATGGGGCCTGGCGGGTACACAGTGGAAGAGAGCATGGCAGTTTGAGGGGAAATTTGTGGCTGAGTGGCGGATAAATGGGGGGGAGAGATTTCAGGGGTCTGGGGCGAAGTTGGAGTACAGGGGGTTCTATGTTTTTGTTGGAAGATCCCTCACAGCTGTTGTGAGTTTACAGCACAGCTCACAGCAGGGGAGGAACCTAATTTCCTGTCCTTCCACCATTCATAGACCACACTGAACAGCCAATGGGCCCAGAAGACCCTAAGGTGGCCAGCCAATGACCACACAATGAAGTGAAATACGGACCAATGGGGAGAGAGAGAGTGAAGGGTTATGGATGTCGGAGACGCTTGGACCAGCATCTGTTTGACCGATGTTCAGTGCCTCAGCATTTCTTCTACTCGTAAAGGTGACTTACAGTAAGACCCCTGCATTAACTCTCCTCCCTTGAACTTTACAACTTCTAGGTTACATTAATCATTGGTGTTTTCGTGGGGTTAGGGTTTCCATGTGATAGATAGATGATGTGTGACAATGAGAAGGGGTTAAAATCCCTAAATCAATCAAAATGTTGGTACATTAAGCAATGTCTAATCATTTGTCAGTATCACAGGCAAGGTCATGGTTAACTAGAGTCCTCCTTCCCCGAGTTCGATCAAGCAAGGTGAGGTTGGTTACATGCTTTCTGTTTAACAGAGGTGTCATAAAACATCACATTAATACAACCATAAATGTTTTACTGAAAACAAAGTTAAGACACAGGGGAGGGAAGACAGTGACAGATTTAACTCAAAACACACAAGCCAACACTGAGAACACAGCAGGCTTTTTGTTTTAACTGTACGTGTTGTGGGAGTTATAGATTGCTATGAAAATGTGGTTTCTGTTTGAAATTGTATCGCTCCATCCATTTCTCAGGACCAGTTCAGACCAGTTGTTTGCTGCTGATTTGTATTCCAAATCTTTGCCAGGGAGCTCAGCAGCAGTCCGCCGCTGCTTAGAGCTCCACATGGTATTAATGAGCGCAGGGACACACAGTCCTCTCTTCTCAGAGTCCTCCACCCTCTACACTCCCACCCACTGGCACCTACACACATACGCACACACCAACACACGTGTATATGCAACATGACATGAAGAAGAAACACTAACACATGCACAAAGAAATATGCATGTTCATAGACGAACACAAACGTATGAATCTGAAAACGCAAATTCACAAATAGATAATACATACTGAAGATTTAAATACAAATAAAACACAGCGAACACGCACTCTCTTTCCAGGGTTAATTTATTACTTCATTTCTGAAGCATTTATAGAGGCAAACAGCGCTTACATAAAAACCAAATGTGCTTGTGTGCACAATAGTGTAAGTGTCCATGTTTTTGTGCAAAGCATGGCCAGGAGTAATCAAGCTGATGGCCTGCTCATCCTCAGGGTGATGGGTTCTAATGGGAACCAGTACACAGAACGGTTAGTCTTGCTCTCCCAAACACAGATACAGAAGCACAAGTACAACAGTTACATATACACACAGTTCAATCTGTGCTGAGCCCACTGTGCCAGAACTACACAAGCTGGCTTATGCACTTGGTAACCTGGCCAGGATGGGTAATGTAGCCAGGCAGAGCAGCTGTGCTAAGCAGGCTAGACAGGCCAAGACTGAACTTTAAGAAAAACGGAATGATGGATGGATGATGGCAGGACGTGGCTTCAGCTACATCACGTCATTATGGTGCAGATTTCTGTCACTTTTTTCACATCTTTTCACACAATTTGTCACATCTGTTGAAAACAGACTGAAGCACATTGTGATAAAATCAAGCACAGAACATGTCACATATTTACTGCTGTGGTACATAGAGTTGTGAATACTGTTTATATGTAGTGAGATAGTGATATCTATATTTTATATAGATATAGACATACAAATAGTTTCTGATCCAACTCACATTCTCCACCCAGAGCTCTTTCAGGGTTCCCCAGAGCAGGGTTTGGCCTTATAAACATTAATTCGTGCCTATGTCCATTATGATTCTCATCTCAAACAGGTAATGTAGGATGGTGGCCATGTGGGTGGTGCGATATGCAATATATTGTATTTGTGTGTATTTATATGTACAAACTGTGACATGTAAGCTGCGTTGTTGAGATGTTGACGCTTGTTGCTGACTCAGCATTCACAACCATGTTCTTCTACTTTTTCTTCCATGTTTTTTTTAGCACTTAACTACTTCCACATTTTTCAATGTAGAAACTTCATTCAGACTTTTCTCATTGATCCCTATTTAATCCATATGGAGGATTCTCAGTTTTTCATGATTTTTCAACTCTTAACTACTCATTCATACTTTCAGCTAGAAAGTTCATTCGAACTCTCAAATATTCCACATCTTTCAGACATTCTAGCTATTATTAGACTTCCAACCCCTTTAAAACTACAAAATATTCAACTTATTTTAAAAACAAAAGTTACAATGGAATTCAATGAGAAAATTCTTCAAACCCACTCATCTTCAACCTCTTCCCACAAATTCATACACTGACATAGAAACTCCATTCAAACTTTTCCATTAGTGTGTATTCCGCGGAATGTTCAGAGCAAGAGTGGGTGACATCATCACTAGAGTGGACAGACAATTTGAAATCGTCTAAAAAAATGAGTAGCTATTAAACTTGCTCTCAGAACCATAATTTTCACTCCACATACATGATTTGTTCAACAAAACATAGGAAACTTTGTTGTGTATGTGGTCGCAGACATGAACTGTGGAAGCAGACGGAGTTACAGTTTTGTCTTTATGAGCTTTCAAACGACAGGAGCAACCATTTACTTCCATTATAAGATGGGAGAAGAAATTTCAGAGGTGAAGCAGAAACAGCTACTTCTTCCGACAGCTAGTGTGGTCACATTTTTAACCCTACAGACACAAATCTCAGACCATGTGGTGAGCAGGCTCTCGTCTCGCGGATAGTATCTCCATTTCGGTGATAGGAGTTACGGTCTGGGCCGTGGAAGCACAAACACAAGAGGTGTGCCTCAGCTAAAATCTCTATTTAATGAAGCATCTTAAGCCAGGAGACACACAGAGCAGGCAGCATCACCATGGCAACACACAGCTGATTGGGATGAGCTAATTAACCCAGTTTAACAGCAAAGAGAGAGACAGACAGACAGACAGACAGACAGAAGTATTCATCAAGTTTTTAACTAAATTCAAATGTTCTAATATTCAAGATCTTGACCACATTTAGTCAACTTTTCAGTTCCTTTCGAAGCAATTTGATTCTTTCTCACTTGTCTAACTACTTTTCATAGTGTTCAAACTCCGTTCTAAACTTTGTCAATTTATGTCTAATCATTCTGTTGGAAACAATATTAAACCTTATGAGATATATTCATGTTATTAGTCCCATTCATAGTTTCTTTTAACAGTTTTCCAACTACAATAGTCCTTTCAGTTACTTCCAACAAATTAGAGCCAGTGATTCAGTATATTGACAGGCCTTCAACACCCCAACAAATCTTCCACCTTTAACAGATTATTAATATCATTCAACTTTTAGAGCCAGCAATTCAGCGTACTGTAAACTGTTCAACGGATCTTCAAATATTCCACAAACACTTTCAAAGCCAGCGGTTCAGCATGGCGTCAGCATTCACACCCTCAATTGCTTCAGAAACTGCATTCTCTAGAACTGTATTCTCATTTTTCTACAATGCAGCATGTTGGGTTTTTTTTTAATATTCTGTGGAACTGGAGGATGGAGTCCAAAACCGATTTCCCTACGGGGACATTACAAGTATATCCTATCCTAGACTAGAAACACTGCCAATCCAAATATAATGTAACCAAAGAGGAGACATTTAAATGAAAGCCAAAGATCACTTAATTAAAGTTATGAGGCTTTAAGCATAGTTGGTGTGTTGTTGTGTGGTCGTGTGTGCATGTGTGCTCGTTCTCCAATTTATGCAAGTGTATTACAAAATCAATTTGTGCTGGCCCAAAGATGAAAGCGCTTTCGTAACAAGTCCTATCGGGCGCTGACACGTCATAACATAACACTACAGACACATATTTGGTGTGATGTTCACTGAACTTGTGCCTACATGCAGTCAGTCTGAGCCTGCAGCAATGATAAATCGACACGAAGATCCACTATAAAAACAGCCTTTCTCCCAAGATAACAACTAATAAAAAACAAATATTAAAATTAAAAATTATTCAGGCTCAGCCCAAACTACTATCTATTTATCCACAAAAGAAAATAAGACACTACTGTGTCAGTTATTAATTAATGCTCTCAGTGTAGTTTTTCTGGATAATCTTTAAACTAGTGACACATTTATGAGGCTATTTAGGCCTATGTTAAGCTGCAGAACACCCTGTAGTATTAGGTAATATAGGCAGAAAGTCCAGATTACGATCATTTTCCCAATAAAAATGTTTGATGGCATAAAATAAAAAATACAATTTAAAACATATTACCCATGAAATACTATAATCTTTTTTTATGTAGCTTTAATCCATGGATGTAATTCAAAACATGTTCTGGTTGTGTCAGTAAACATGTGGAGTTTGGCATCAGGTCTGTTGGGCTGGCAGCAGTGATGTGATCACTGTTACGCTTTGATCGACTGGAGGAAGAGCGGATATGGAAGCACGTAAGACTATTATTTGAGCTGACAAGTTTATAATGAAGAGCCAGGAGAAGACAGCAAACAGGCATGTGTGTGTCTTAGTGTGTGTGTGTGTGTGTGTGTGTGTGTGTGTGTGTGTGTGTGTGTCTATAGGGGCAGGGGGGTTTGTTTGTTTTTACATTTGCATCTGTTTGTTCAGAGATGAAAGCTGCTAGTTTTTCCCTTGAGGGATAGTTTTCATGTACAGTATTATGAGCAAAATGCCCCTTGTGATAGTTTTCATGATATATTTCATTATTTAATCATTATTACTGATACTTTATTGTATAAGCAGCATTTTATTGTCATAATCAGTTGAGGGAAACTACTACATTTCTATGTTATATTTGAGTGGAAATAAGTTTATTTTTGTACGTAAAATCTTTATAACAAGTAACGATGAAGATGAAGTGGAGTAAAAAGTATAGTAATTCCCTCTGAAATGTAATGGAGCCCAAGTATAAAGTACCATATAATGGTAATAGTCAAGTAAAGTACAAGAACATAAAAACTGGTTGTTAAGCATGTGTGTATGTTTAACATGAGGTCCACACATTGGCAGCAATTGTAAACACACCCAGAGGGACACAAAATAAAGACAGATCGGGGATAGATTCACTGAGTAAATAAAATGGATCTGGGAAAAAGAAAATCCAATTATCTATATTATATTAGCTTATAATAAATGTATCTAAACACAAATACACAATACTGACCATAGATGAGACATATTAACAAGGTAGATAATGAGGTGAAATGCTGGCAGTCAGCCTGGGTCCAAACTGCTTCTCCCCAGCTCCCTGTAACCTCCAGTATCCTCCACAGTAGCTTCCAATCACTGAACCCCAGCAGGAGGCTACCATAACACAGACTCCATGACATGGAACAGAGACGCTCCACTAACCAGAACCAGCACACTGCAGCTTATTTTATCATTAACCAATTTATTCTTCATTCTGTTTCTCAATTTTCACTAAATCCCTCTTTGTCTGTTTCTCCACACACTTTATACACACAGCTACATGATGAATACAGTTCTCCACAAGCAGTTCAATGTGGATTTAATTATTAAAGGTCTGCAGAATAACATATCATCCGGTTTATGGGGAGGAGTCTTGTTTTAGGCCACTTGGGACTCGCAAATGACCTTTATGGTATCATCTCCTGCTGTGTTGGCAGAGTTCAGGTCCAGTTGAGCGTGTCCGCACTCTGTTGTCTATGTGGTGCTGAAGGAGGCTTTTAAAATAGAGGACCAGCTAATAAGCCTGCAGTGCCAATGGGAAGACTGGTGCTCTCACCACTAATGAGGTCAAGTGTCAGATGTGGAACGAAGGCTAGAGAGCAGCCTAGCTGAATCTTCTCCATTTTAGCTTCACTCAAAGTCTTTCTTTTTTCTGTCCCTTTTTGAATAATGTGTTGTATTTTAATGAATTATATCTGTCATACAGTGCAATCCAAAGTTTCTACAATTGCCCTTTCCTGTCTCTCTTTCTTTCACATTTTCTTTTCCTCAGCGTTCCATGACGCTCCCACCGTGGTTCACAAGGATCCCAGGGAGCAAAGAAAAAACCCACTGGAATTCACTATATTTAAACAACAGTAACACACACAACACACACACACACACACACACACACACACACATCGAGACCTACTTGCACAAACACACCCATACAGTTGCCCTTGAGCTCTCCCTGACATGCCTGCTCATCTAAGTACACAAGGTCAGCTGTCATAACTTCTGTGATATGTGTGCATGCGTGCTGGGTGAGTGTGTGTGTGTGTGTGTGTGTGTGTGTGTGTGTGTGTGTGTGTGTGTGTGTGTGTCTGTGTGTGTCTGTGTGTCTGTGTGTGTGTGTGTGTGTGTGTGTGTGTGTGAGAGAGAGAGAGAGAGAGAGAAGAAAAAATAAAGAATAGGAAAATAGAAAAAGAATTATGATTGCTTGTGAATCAGTCAAGACATTGAAATAAACATGATAAAGGAGCTACAGGAACTCATCTGAATTGTGTGTGTGTGTGTGTGTGTGTGTGTGTGTGTGTTAATGTTAGTGCTCACAATCCCAAACAACACTAGTCTACCCTCTTGTGGCCGACAAAGGAACTGCAGAACATTAGGGTTTTTTTAAAGGTCCACTGTCTGACATGTAACAGGATCTATTGGCAGAAATTGAATATAATATACATTGTGTTTCTTTTTTTTTCATTAGTGTATAAAAATATTTTTAAAAAAGTGAAAATATATTTCTTTCATTACCTTAGAATGAGCCGTTTTTATCTACAAAAGGAGCGGGTCCTCTTCTACAGAGTCCGCCATGTTGAACTGCCATGTTTCTACAGTAGCCCTGAACAGACAAACCGAACACTGGATATAGACGGGGCCTTTTATGTTTTTTGTGAGTCTCATGGCCACCTGAGTTTCTCCTGTCACTAAATCCTACCCACTGGTCCTTTAAATCAATAGCTGTGGATGAATGGACATACTTGAGCCGGGTCCAGGCGTGGGTGCCGATGCCTTGCTCATGCAGCAGGTTGTGACTCAGGTCCAGCACTCTCAAATGGACGCAGCCCCTCAGAGCTTCATCTGTCACTTCCTCAATCAGATTCATATTCATCTCCAGCTCCTATATGAAAAGACAGGGATGTCTGACATTGGCCCTCAAGATAATTTTGCCTTTTAGTGGATCCTGACATTTAAGGGGGAGGATTTTCCCTACAGGCTTCAGTAAAGTGATATCAGTGCACCTGAAGAGAGGGAGGAAGGCCCAGAGGGAGGGAACTGAAGCGGTTGTTGTCCAGCTGGAGGTCCAGAAGTCTCTCTAGGGGTCGGAAGGCTAGTGGCGACACACTTCCCTCATGGAGAGTATTCTCCTCCAGCTCCAGATTCAACAGGTTCATCAAACCTAGAGAGGAAACCTAAATAATATTATCATTATTTTCATACAAGACACTTCTCGTCTCCCGTGTACACAGACATATGTCCTACCTTTGAAACAGTGAGGGGTGAGGGTAGTGAGCTTGTTGTTGTTAATCTTGAGCTCCTCCAGAGATGGCGGCAGTGCTGGGATCCTGGTCAGCTGGTTGCCATCTAGGTTCAGCTTCTTCAGAAAGGTCAGATTCTACATGGCACGCAGCAAAAAAGAGGGATGAACAGGCAGGATAAGATAAAACAGACAAACTGGATACTGGTCTCGAAATCCATAATTTTCTGTCCCGACTTACCAAGCAGGACACAATCACAGAGTTCACAGAAATACACCAAATGGGAGAATCTGAGCATCTCTTCCATGTCATCTATCATGTTGTATTTTTAGAAAAGCCACTCTGTGTGGCTCTTCAGTGAAAGCTGCTGCGGTCGATGTGTGTCAAGTAAAAGCAGTGGACTGAATCTTGTGCAGTATCCCTCCAGCCAGTCCATCAGTCCTCTGTCATTACCGGGATGTGAGGACAAAATGAAGAAAAATCTTCCCCTAAAAATAATTTCCTTTAATTCTCCACATCATTGGCTGCAGCTGTTTTCCAACAGGTCTGTCCAGCCAATACTGTGAGAGTATGCTGATGGTGGCGTGTAATGATTGGTCAGAGTGTGGTAGGCTGCCTCAGTGTGGTCAGGATCCGTGTTTGGCCTGTGGTCATTTAGAGGTTAGACCAGAAGTTATTCTTAGAGTTAAGATTAGTTAATGCAATTTTCAGCACTCTTTTATTACTGTAATGATACAGGATGCAACCTGCTTTTTATTTTAATTAGATGCAAAGTGACTTATAAAACTGGCCTGTAACTCACAAACTCACTCATTCACGTTAGGCAGCAGATTCTCCTCAAGGGGGAGTTTTTTGGCTCGATATTAGACCGATTCTGCACGTGCTAACATACGCCACCTAAAGGAAAGAAAACTAATAGCAACTGCAGATTAGACCTGCTGGTGTAGACACTAGTGTTGCCTCCTACTGGCAAAGAAATATCTGCTGCAGTTCTAACATTTGCGCCACCTGCAGGCAATGGGCTTTACTGCAGCGGTTATTTTTTATTGTTTCTATTTGTTTTTGTTTTTCTGTGTGTTCATTATTGTGTCGCTGTAACCACCAGTGGTCATTTAACACTCAATTAAATACTCAAAATACAAATACAATATTGTTATTATTATTATTATCATCATCATTATGGATGTTATTATTCCCATCATCATTGTTTTAATTGTCACCATCATCACTATCATTAGTCATTTTTCTAGTATTATAGCTGTTATTGATCAGATTGTTATTGTTGTTGCTATGCATCTCGATCTCAGTCTTTCTCTCTCTCTTCTTCTCTTTTTTTCCTTTTGGCCTCTCTGCCTCTACTGTTTGTTTTTTTCTCTTTTAGACAAATAAAGTCTAGTTAGGACCTTTTCTTTCCAGTTCTAGAGGAGAAAAGACACATGATGACAGTATTTATAGGAAAATAGGCTCAAGTTATCATTATATGTTGCAAGTATAAATATAAATGTAAAAGTAGAAAAAGAAACAAGCACACACACACAAGGAGAGCAGGCTGGGCTGGTACTTCAGGTCTGGAACTGCAGGTTTGAATAGCTCTGCAGTAAGGCGATTAAATTATATTCTTTGTGAATTTGTATAACATGGCCCCCAGAGAACAGGTAGAGCAAGAACAGGTATCCCTCAATTGAACCCTAACACAGTAGCAGGGTGTAAACCAACTTTATGTAATGTACTTGCAGATGAGAGTTACACTGGAATGCTGAGACTGACAGGGAAGAAGCGGTCAGCTGTGTTAGTTGGTGATTAATAACATGCACACAGAGCAGAGTTACTCACAGACAGTGGGTTTTGGCTGAAGGAATCATCAGCCAGTTGGTTTTTGCTCAGGTCCAGCGTGTCCAGGTTCAGCAGACCAGAGAAATCTTCTGGAGCAATGACTCTGATGTTGTTCTCTTTAAAGATAAATCAAGTACGCGTAGAGGAAGTATATAATATGGCTTGTAAAGTTTGTTTGTTGTCGATGTAAATAATATAATCAGTTAAATGTGTCATTATCTTGACCTATACTGTTTGTGCCAAATACTGTTAGGACAAGTGATTGTAACAGAAAACTACCAATAAACCTAAATGTATAATTGTAAAAAAAAAAAAAAAAAAAAAAAAAAAGGCCAATTACAGCCACTGGCAACCTTAATAAATAAGATTTATTACTAAAGTCATCTTACTCCTATTTTGTACCATACTACTAAGCACAAACACCACACTACCACTCCACAACATACACACACACAAACACACACACACCTGCCATGTCCAGGTTTGTGGCCATCAGGTTGTGGATGATTGGCAGGTGAGTCATGCCGATGCCCCTGCAGCTGATTTCTCTGTCCGCAGTCTGACACCCGCTGAGAGGAGACTCTGTAAAGCCGGAGTGTGTTTCTGTTTGATTGTTGGGAGACTCAGTTGCTTCTTCTTCTTCTTCTTCTTCTTCTTCTTCTTCTTCTTCTTCTTCTTCTTCTTCTTCTTCTTCTTCTTCTTCTTCTTCCTCCTCCTCTTCTTCTTCTTCTTCCTCTTCCTGACACAGAAAATTTTAAAATAATTACTCAACAGAAAATTGCTTCATAAACTCAACTGGGTGATTGAAAACAAAGCATCCTTATTTTTACAAAAAATGTAAACCTCTTCCTCCTCTTCATCATCATCATCATCATCGTCGTCGTCATCATCTTCATCCTCCTCCTCTTGTGCTTTCCCTTGATCCATCAGCCGCCGCTTTTCAGCATGCAGCTCCTTGAGTACAGCCATGAGAGCGCCGGCATCCTCCGCTCCTTTTCCACGCTTCCTCCAGCCCATCAGGGGTTGCCCCAACCCTGCCTACAATAAGCAGCAGGAAGTCACATACATGATCCACCAAAGGAGTGAACTAGCATTGTCTTAGACCACAGTATGACATGGGTGAAATATAAATATTGATTTCAGTATTCATTATATCAGAATCATATCCCATACTATTCTATATGCATTGGACTCCACTGTAGCTGCATGCTTCCTCTTCCCCCAGGCACCTCTCTTTCTTCTACCAGCCTCCAGCTTCCCGAAATCAACTCCTCGATGTCCCCTCTCCTCCTCTGCCTCCATGTGAAGAAGCTCATCCTCACTCTCTTCTTCACCAATCATAAGCAGAGCAGAAACAGTTTTAAAAAGTTAGTTTTTCACTCTGTTGTATAAGCTAAATAACTTCAAACCTTTTAAGTCATTAAGACACTTAATAGCCAATAATCATGCAGCAAAAAAAAACAGGCAGCATTTGAAAGACAAAAACATCTTACCAGCAGGGATGGCTGCACTTGAAATGTTTAACAAGATCACTCGCGTATCAATTCCTGGTGGATGAATGGCTGCTGTTTTTAATTCACGTGTCTCAAATGATGTGTCTTCCAAGTATGCATCCATGTCCCGTAAAGAGTTTAGGATTTGTCCTGATAAAACTGTGCCACACAGACAAATGAACATGATACATGTCCATAGCATCTGCATGGCTGGATATTCACTCAATTTAAGCTGCTTCAGTTGGTGAGAGAAGTCCAAAATGTTTAGATGTTCAAGGCCGAACTGAGGACGAAACCAATCCACAGAAAGTGCGGACAGTTATGCCCAAGGATAGAAACTCTGAGTTGCAGTCAAATGAGAGGATACATCTCCAGAAAGCCCTAGAATTTGAGATTACGAACACTTGTATGAAAGCTGTGGTGCAGTATCTCCGTTGTACTACACAATATTGCACTTGCCCCTGACTCAGAGTGAATGTTGAAATGAAGAAAGAGCAAGAGGTTGGGAATAAGTATCTAGGAGGCGGAGAGGTAAAAAAAATAAACTCTCACATTGTTAATAAAGGCCCTAGTTCATCGTACCATGAAATAAACAGACCCGCCTATCGTGCTCCTCCTTGTCTCCTCACCCTTTCATAACTGTCTGCTAACACAGGGTGGAAGGCAGATATTTGTGGAGGACATGAGAGACAGACAGGGAGCAAAAGATAGTAACTGGAACACAATAAGTTTCATACGCCTGTGATAGATTCTAGGTGGAGACAATTTGTGATCCACTGTCAGTTGTGTGTTTTTCTCTCTGACTGGATCAGACTGATCTTGGACATTTTCCAACAAGAGACAAGGTTGGTAGACAGTTCAGGTCGGAGACAACCTCGTTTGGCCGAACTCCAGTAGCATCTATGTATGAAAACCAACAGGACCACTGAGAAATGAACAATGAGCCTGTCTTTACATTCTGTACATACATACTGTCTGGATACACAGACACTGTTACGCTTACACGTGTAGTCTGGGGTGTGTAAGCAGCAGACTCACTGCTCAGCTAAGCAGGTGCCACTGGCTGGAGTGTTGAGCCAAACTGGGATTTTCGCTGTGGGGTGAAACCTGCTGACGGCCCCTCTTTATTTGCTCAGTAACCACACATACACCCACTAAATCTGTCAACGTGTGTGTGCATGTTGTCATGTTCCAGACAACAGCGTCTGTGATTAACAAGAACCATTGATGTGATCGTTTCTGATCAAACGTCTGTATTTATTGTTGGATGGTTTTGTTCTGATGCTCAGCTGATGAGACGGACCAGCAGTAGAAACCAGACATATCCCAAATGGCACGTCGGACAACTTAACACTAAACACTGAAACACGGGTACTGGTGTCTTCTTCCAAGATAAACAGTCATGTGTCCAAAGACTATTCATTTAAATCTTGACAGGAACATGCAGTAATCCACTGACCGCATTCATCCCCTACCTGAACCGCAGTCTAACAGATGAACTGTTTCCACTGCAGAGAATGGTTAATATTCATCCAACATAAATAACCCAGTCACTAGTTAGGAAAAAACCCACTCACTTTTTACCATCTCTTCTGAGCTGTCTCTGCCGTCGTAGTACAATTATGCTACTGTTTTTTCACTCAGAATGAAAGTGTCCTAGACAGTCCACCACTGCCAGCTCTACAACATGTAGCAAATATTCAATTAAAGTAAAACAAGAGCCCACAGCCAGACACAAGCAGCTCTGAGACTGTTCATTGTTGGTACAGTTGTACACTAATATTTGTACCAAATTTCACAGAACTACATCTGAAAGTCATCAAGACATTTCACTAAAAACCAAAAATGTTAAAACGTATAATGGTGCTAGAGTGAAAGTCTTGTTGTCAGAGAACAGCTCTACAATAACTGGTGCCAATCCATATAGTAGGCGTTGAGGTATTTTACTGGTCAAGTGAAAATGATGCCTGCTGATTGCACTAGAACAAAAGTCAGAGGATAACATCCTTTTGGGTGTCATGAGAGGAATGAATTGCTACCATAGAACCACAAAAATAAAACATAAAAACACGCCAATGCTAACTGGGTTAATTATTTTTTTTATTCAGCACGTCACAGCAATAACAGGATGACACCGGTGACCTGGAATGCCATTAACACTTTGTGATGCCCATGCGGCGAGGAATCATTAGAGGAACACTCAAGCAGTTCATAACTGAAAATGGGTTTAACTTTTCACACTTGGTCTGAAGGAAACGGTTCTCTACCACACTAAAGAGAGCAATAAGAGCTGTGACTGAACACAAAAAAAAAAAAAAAAAAGTGATCTAGTACATTGGATGTATGACAAACAGTAACAGTGCTTCTTTATGAATGCCAGCCAAGTGAGAAGACATGGGGCACGGTTGTAAGGAATGTAAAAGGAGAAATGATCATTGGGATGCGGAATAGAAGATGTGGACTGATGGTTCATAATGGACCAGAACCTAGAGGGGCTGCTGGTAAGGCAGGTTTTAAATGAAACTCAACTTAACACATTTAAGTATTCAGTGATGGTTTTTGTCTGAGCCATTTTTAAGAGACAGTTTTGAAAACACAAGGATACAAGAAAGGAATGTTGCAGAAGGACAGTAGAGGGTACTAAAAAGGTGCATACGGGGTAGTAATATTAACACTACAGGCTTTGACACCACCGCACTCCTATTCCCATCTCTCACCTGTGATAATAATGATAGGGTTAGTACACTACACTTGAGTCAAAGCCACAAGATGGCACTTGAGCACAGAAGTTCACAGGTCTTCACGTGGTCGTGCCAGGTAGCTGCAGGTGGAGCAGAAAGTTGAGTTGTGATGCAGCAGGGCAGCTTAGTTTGCAAAGGTCTGACGCACAGCGTCGGCAATGTGCTTGGCGCTGATGCCGAACATGTCGAGCAGCTCTTGGGGCTTTCCACTTCGGGGAACACCGCTCACTGCAAGCCGGGTCACAACAATGCCGGGCTCCTCGCCCACTGCTGACAGCACTGCTTCACCGAGACCACCTAGACAGAAGAGACAGACCAGAGGCCAACAATGCATCAGTTTTCAGCACATCCACAAAGCAGGAACCAGTTTGAAACACCAGGAAATTACATGAGATGGCCTCTTATTGGACCCTGGCAGATTTGTGGGGGGGACAAAAAAACAAAACAAAAACACACTTAAAATTTCACTACTGGTGGTCAATCTGTAGCACTTGAAGTGTTTATACAATTATGGTCTCTGGTGTACTCCGAAGAATCAAAGCCTGGCAACTCTAAAACCTCTCAGCACATAACCGGGGAACCCTGCAACAGCACACACACACACAAGCACAAAAACAGAAAACAACCCACCCTCCTTGTAGTGGTCCTCCACAGTGATGATCTTTCCCCCTGTGGCTCTGGCACTGGCAAGAATGGTAGAGGCGTCCAGGGGCTTGATGGTGAACGGGTCAATCACACGGATGTTCTTCCCTATAGGAATTCATTAGGAAATTAGTCATTTGGAAATGTTCATTGGGCCATACTAACAAACTGAGCAACTAAGGACTCCATAATTCTCCCTTGAATTACAAAAAAATAAAATGAAAAGTTGTGGATGGTGGCTACAAAATGTAGGCCTCAATATTTACATCTAGCCACTAGAGGGCAATGTGAGCTTACCTTCACTGGCCAACATATCAGCAGCAGCAAGGGCCTCATGCAGAGTAATACCAGCTCCAACCACAGTCACATGATCTTTGTCAGACTGGCGAACCACCTGGTGAAGGAGACATTTATCTATTTATCAATTTTTCTTGGTATACAAGATTAGCATGTTTATAATCATGGTAATGCTAATTTACCTTGGCTACGCCCACTTCAAACTTCTCATCTGGAGAGTAGAGGACCGCAGTTTCTGGTCTGCTGGTACGGATGAAACAGATACCCTGAGAAACAGTGAGGAGTTAAGAGTGTTACTCCCCCATCGCTGTGAAGACAACTTGCTGCACAAACTTCCACAACGTGGCCTACCAACCTTTGTGTTGGCCGCTAGCTCAATAGCTCTCTCCGCGGACACTGCTTCACTGGGGTAAAACACAGTGCATGTTGGGATAGCGCGGAACATGGCCAAGTCCTCTAGGGCCATCTGAGAAGGGCCGTCCTCACCTGAAGGCAAAGTAAGATCAGTCAGGGAATGGGGTGCACTTAATCTGCCCTTTAGGGAAAGAGTGACGCTTCAGCAGAGAGCTTACCGATGGAGACTCCGCAGTGGGACCCTACCAGGTTGACGTTTGACTGGGAGATGGCTCCCATGCGGATCTGGTCATAAGCTCTGGAGAAGAAGGCCGCAAACGTGCTGGCAAATGAAACCGTGCGGTCACGGGTGGCACAGCCAATGGCTACTCCTACCTGCAGCAGCAAGGAAAGACATCAGAAATATGGGTTAGTCTTCATGACAGCGGAGGTGACTAATCTGCTCACAAGTGACATGCAGCAGTGAGAGGCTGGGATTACTGTGCTAGAGAATGAATAGTAACAGATTAGACCAATTTGGAGCAGATTATGAGAATAGAGTTCATCCCTCTTTCATAACTTGGAGTTAATCCTGTCTGACTTTTGTAACTTAAAAATAAAAAAGGGGAAAAAAAAAAAAAAAAAGGAGGCTACAGCTTTTAAATAACCCATGAAGAAATATTACGCACCATGTTCTGTTCAGCGATGAAGCACTCAATGTAGCGTTCAGGGAAGGCCTTCTTGAAGGTCTCTGAGAAGGTGGAGTTTTTGGTGTCTCCATCCAGGGCCACCACTCTCTTGCTCGACTGGCCCAGCTTGGCCAGTGCCACACCATATGCACGCCTTGTTGCCATCTGACAGAGCAAAAAGGAAAAGAGTGTAAGTAAAGACAGTTTAACAAGGTAGATAAAGACATCTTAAAGTGCTGATATCAGTATGAGGAGAGGCAACCACCCACCAAGCAAACAAGAGACTTATGCTAAAACATGCTTCAAGTGTCCCTAAAAAGGAAAACAAAAACAAGTACCTTGTCTCCAATTTTGTATGCTGGGGGTGAAGACAGGGTGATGGGGCTGAGGTCGGCAGGTGCTGTGTCATCTTCAGGCATCTCAGGGGACAGGCTCTTATTGGGGACCTGGATCTGAGCCTGTAGGTCCTTCAGGACGTCACCCACCCTGTCCTTGGGGATGGGCTTTCCATGCCAGTTATCCAGATCCTCAATATCTACAGACAAGGTATGAAAAGCTCTCAATCAACTCACAGGACAGAAGAATAAAATAGTTCAGTAAATATAAAAATATTTCACCATGTGAAAAACCGCACTTACTTTTGAGTCCTTTGCCCTTGAATGTCTTCGCAACAATGCAAGTGGGTTTGCCCTTGACCTGCTTAGCCTGCCAGAAAGCTTTGCACAGCTCCTCCACATCATGTCCATCCACAACGTATGTGTTCCACCTACACAAGACATGGCTCGATTTTAACAGCATGTCACACAGTACAACAAATATTAACCCAAAACATGGGACGTATTAACTTGCTAACATATCAGGCATCAAACTTATTAACTGTGTGATGGGAGCAGCAGTAGAAGGGTCAATAGGCTTCAGGAGGATAGAGAAAAAGAAAACAGAAAGCATGTGAAAAAGATGCCTGAGAGATGGCCAAATGAAACTTCAACCCAAGAAGTTTGACAGTAAGATAAGACAATACTAAACCCCATAGAAACAGCTTTTGAAATAATAGGTCGACCTTGATTAGATACAAATACAATAAAAAAAAAGGGGTTACCATAAGATCAAAGTGTTTACTAGGATATTAGACAAAAGTGGAGCAATGGAAAGTCAACGTTTTGTACTGACCCAAAGCCTTCACAGCGCTTGCGGTAGGTCTCCATGTCATGCTTCAGGGGTGCCGCCTCACTCTGACCGAGCCGATTGACATCCATGATAGCCACCAAGTTGTCCAGCTGGTAGTAGGAGGCAAAGGCCATGGCCTCCCACACTGAGCCCTCTGAACATTCTCCATCACCCATCATGCAGTATACACGGTAGCTACAACACAATGTAGAAAGGGGGGGAAAAAATGGGGAATATTAGTGTTGTTGCTCTAAACAATGAGGCACGCAATGGTTGAGGTGGACTACTCAAAAAGGAAAAAAAGGTTGGATCATAAGACGAGAATCCTTATACTTACAATACAGGATACTTTACTGGAAGCAATGATTCATTATGTCTTTAAACTTATATTAGAGTTGGAAATTAACAGTTGCATCCTGTTGCCTTCAAAAACAAAGATTCAAAGAGATTTTAATTTGTAAAGTTTATACCCCTTTAGTGCCCCTATACATATGACTATGTGAGGTATAAACTACCTTAAATTCCTGGGGGACTCCTTAGAATCAACAGAATTATTGGCAATGAATATTCAATATTCCATGAATCATTCAGTAATACTTCCACTATCTTGACTAGTACTCTGTTGCAGCAATGCAAACACCTTTTGACCTCACTCCCTGGCTGAAGCCTGCAGTAATTTAAATCAATTACAACTACACTTCTCCCGATTTAGCCATCAGACACATTACGGTGCATCAGGCTCTACATTAAAAAGAAAGTAGCTCTCTGCCAACAGGTCAAGACATTACACAATTATTAAACACTGATTTGAACAGAGACCCCTGCCTTCAAAAAGGACGTTCTTCAGACTAATGACGAAGACAGAAACTGTACAAAAATGTTCCAGATTATATACCAGTTTTAAAAAGCGATAATGAATCCACACAGTTTTTGTAAACATACCTGGATTTGTCAAAGTGTTTGCCAGTGTAGGCCATCCCACAGGCAGCACCGAGACCCTGACCCAGAGATCCTGTAGCCACATCAACAAATTCCAGTTTCTGGTGGATAGGACAAAGGGCGAAAAAAAATGAACAAATATACATTCTACATTTAAAAAGTGACATGTACATCATATTCTGTCTGTTCTCCAGGGAAGCAGCAACACCAGAAAGGATCTCTGGATTTTTGACTTACTGGTGTGGGGTGGCCCTCCAGCTCACAGTCAATCTTGCGCAGGTTGAGCAGATCAGACTCCTTCACAAAACCTGCCTCTGCCCAGGCGGCATACAGGATAGGTGCAGCATGGCCCTAGAGACAGGCGGGAGAAAATCTTTATAGACAACGACATTACCAAATCTCAAGTGCCCAGACAAACTAAAGACTATCTACACATCTCATAAACAAAGAAATGCCGACCTTTGAGAGCACAAAGCGGTCGTTACACTGGTTGCGAGGGTCATCTGCTTTATAACGCATGGTGTTGAAGAAGAGCACGGACATGAGCTCTGCAGCGCTGCAGCATGATGTGGGGTGACTGAGGAGAGAAAAAAAAATGAAATAAGAACTTAAGTCACAGTAGAGACGCCATTATTTAAAAAATAAAATACATTCACACACCGTGCACATACATGCATGTGTTTGTACATTCAGGAATCCTTGCACTTTGTTTTAGTTTGAAAATAAAACCACTGAAGTATCAGTCATTCCAGGAGAACCATTCCAAGGGATAAATTTGTCCTATCTTTTGGGATTAGGAATATCACGAATCAGTAGATTGTTAATCTGCAACATGACCACATCAGTTATGTTACCACACTTCAGAAAACCTAAAAAACAAAACTAAAAACAATAAGCAAACTTGTGAAACTGTTAGTTGCTGCATAGTGGTCCAAGTATTGTAATAGACATGTTTAGAAATCCCACGTTACTCAACAGCATCTCAGCTTCCCTATGTGGGTTAAGTTACAAATGGCATCATTTAAAACCATGCTAGAAACACAGTTATCTTATTCAAACATACATCATGGTCACTGTTATTTAAAAACAAAAAAAAAAAAACCTAGTGCCTTGTTTACCCATTATCCTTTTGCTGAGCGATAACCTGCTGAGAAATAAACTGTAGTAAATTCATGAAAACCATAACAATGCAATCAGATGCTCAAGTGTAATGTTCCATAACCATCAAATAATGAGGAACAACGTGTGTTGAGAGTAGGGTGTCAAAACTCAAAGACACCCTTTGTTAAGGGGAGGCGGTAGTATCAGAACATCAGATGCCGGATAGCCATGGGCATTCAGGACAGAACCCATCCACTTCCTTGTCAGTTGACACAAGGAAGTGACAAATGGGGTTTGAAAACAAACCTTTATTTTGGGAGGTTGCAACTTGCCTCACGGCTGAGATTACATAAAACCGGATTTTCTGGAAGGATGCATTTCAAATACAATGAAAGTTTGTTTGTAACTATGTGGACAGTCTAAATGTAAAATTCTAGCCAGGTGATTGACAGATAACACAACGTAAAATGTTGTAGCATTTCAGTTCGTATTTAACAAACATGCTTATTTATTTTTGTTCTGGTTCAGATTCTGGACGTCCCCCCCAAAAAAGGTATATTATATTTATATTATATTATAGTTATATAGATATTTTGCATGAATTGTTTTCTTTGACAAGCTAAAAAAAAAAACAGTTAAAACCTTGTAGTCCACAGCAGTCCTCCCTGCTGCACAGATAAGACTGATGGTGCATGTGACAGAAGCATACAAAACGCATTTCAAATTAAAAACCTTTCTGATTCTTGCTGTGTAAACTTCGGTTTTAAGTTATGTACACATGTATTGACCTAATCGTAACCCTGACAGTAGGAAGACAAGGAAGGGGGGGAATGGCAGCAAGAATAATCTCTAGATCACATAAACTATAACCTGTCGAGGAGGAAACTGTGTAAACCATTTCCCGCTTGGACATTGCGTCAAGATACAGGTGACATTTCCTCCAGTGAGGAGGAAGACGGCAGGTTGCTTCTGGCAGTTATGATGAAACAATGCCACAGGTGGCGCTTTTGATGGCTCTCTCACTTGACACAGATTTTTTTTCTCCTTCCAGAGATCATCTCTCAACCGGTGTACATTGTGTACATTTTAAGATGCAGCTGCAACTTTAAAATCGGCGCGTCAAACCGACCACGAGATTCATCTTCTGGCGTGATCATGTGATTTCTTCTTGTTAGCTAGCAAAAGCAGCTCGTTGCTAATTAAGTTTCATTAAGCGACTACACCAATCAGAGCTATTATACAGAATGAATTACCAGCTAGCTTCCACTGACTTTAGCGACCAACTAACGTTACATACAGGCGCTGCAGTTTGTTTTAACTTATGTCAACGTCTTAAACACACACACACACACACACACACACACACACACACACACACACACACACACTGTTAGCTTATGCTAATCTGAGGAACTGTACACTCGACTCACAAAGCAACTTCTAACGTTTATGTAACGGTTGCTCGGCATTAGCTTAACGTCCACACCGCGTGAACACAATCTGCAGCACGTGCAACCGGGCCCCGCAGGTAAAAACGTGCGTGTGCTACAGTGAGGTTACAACCTGTGCCACATTTTCGTCCTATGGAGCCGACTTATAGTTAATAGTTCCGTCTAACATAACTTTGAATGACTTACCCAGAGTTAGAGGCGCACGTCGCCTTGATGGAGTGAATCCTGAGCTTGTTAGCGATGTCTTTCAGCCCCTGCAGGGTCTTCTCGTCGGGCTTGTGGTAGCTAGTCATGGTTTCTGGGTTATTTAGTGAGAATAACGACCGCTTCAATGGTTAATTTTGGTTATTTCAGTCACACAAGTCGTTTCCAGGTGTCGTAAGTTCAATGCTGCGCCACGCCGCTGCTAGCTGCCCGGTGAAAGTACAACCGAGGAGGAGGAGGAAGGACAGAGGATGGGGACTTATGTCTCTTCACAGCCACTCCCACCCAAGTTAATCCAATCATTTGCAGGGACATTATGGAGTTAAGTTGCGCAGGAGATGTTGCTTTCACAAATCCTGTTCAGCTCATGAAAGATAAAAATCTTATCATTGTAAATGATCAAATCTCTAATACATTGACATATGCAATACAATGTATAGAAATGTAGTTTTATGGCTCTGTTATGAATTTAATACAACGACAGAAATTGCATTCAGCACTTTTAACAATAGTGAGTAAGACTAAGAATAAAATGTTCAACCTAGTCAGTGAAATGGGTAGTTGACTTCCTGGTTGTGGCAACATTATAATGGTGAGGTGGAAATGGTTTTGACAACTTCAAACTATGTCTGACTACTAATGATCAGAATTAATTATACTATATGATATAATGTGCATAACTGGCCCTTAGGTGGACACCATAAGGTAACTGCACTGTTTCCCCACACACATACAGCTCATGTCACTGTCCCTTTAAAGCTACAGCTGGATGGCTGCCAATAGGGAAATGCCGCCTGCCGATTTTGCCCTCTCATTCTTACTCAGGGAAACACAGGACAGTTTGGCCAGAAACACAAGGTTCAATACTCCCTCATTTCTTATTCCTTAGTCACTGACACACTGTTTTGTAACGCCAGCTAATCACCTGCATTTGTACATGCCAACAGACGAATCAGAAATAACATTTTCATTTCATTTTATTGTTGACAAAAATAGATAATTGGTTTAAGAACATGACTTATGTACAAATGTATGTATGACACAAAGTGCATCCTACAAGTGAGGTGTATCTCTATCAACATATACATTACGTTTCATTAAACCAATCACAGTCACCCACCTATACACACCAGGCCTGTATTTTCAAGGAAGTAAAACACTTCCTCATTTGTTCCATCATTATAGATCTTAGGGCTCAGATATTTCCTCCTCTCTAAGTTCCTGAAATGAAATACATGACATTAGGACAAAGGAGCAGCTTTTGTCTGACCATGCCACACAGAGAATTAAGATGTTCCTCATCTTTACCTTGATTCTCTCCTGGGCCTCAACCCTCTCCTCAGGGGAGATGGGATCTTTTTCAAGTCGCTCCAGTTGTGGCAGGAGAATCAGTACACTCAGCCGGTAGTCTGTCGTTTCCACCAGAGGATTCTCAGAAAGCACCAAAGCTCGCAGCGTTTTTGACAAAAACCGGAGGCATTGCAGGGCATTCTCATCTAGGATGGCATTGCCTCTAAGACGGAGACATAAGTGTGTTCAGTGTTTTACTGAATTAAATGATGGGAACCACCACTGCGGCTCTCATCTCTCCTTTTGTGATTCAACTGTGTACCTGAGGTTGAGATATTGGAGACACTTCATGTTGGGGCTGAGGCCATCCAGAGAGTCTAGCTGGTTTTCTCGAAGGTGAAGGGTGGTGAGGCGCTCTAACTTCTCTAAACCCTCCAGACGTTTGATTGCATTTTGGGCCTGAATGGAGGGCAAGAATAGTTACAGGAGGCCTGATCTCTGGGTCATTTCATGGGTATTAAAGGACCAGTGTGTAGGATTTAGTGGCATGTAGCGGTGAGGTTGGAGGTTGCAACAAACTGATTACAGCTTGCTTGTCAAGTGTGTAGGTGGCCGTAAAACTTGTGCAACATGTGAAAGGCCCTCTTCAAGTGTTTGGTTTGTCTGTTGTGGGCTTCTGTAGAAACAAGGTGGTTCAACATGCTGGACTCTTTAGAAGAGGGCCCACGAAATGAAAAAAACACTTTTAATTATAATTAAACACTAATAAAACATACCTATGCATATTATATTCCACTACTGCCAATGGATCCTCCTAAATGTTACACACTGAACCTTTAATAATGGCATTAATGGATCAGCCTCTACCAAATCATGGTACTTTTATTACCAAATATAATTGCCGTAGGTTTGGAAGGTTGATGCCATCAGTGGTGTCCAACTGGTTTCCTCTCAGCTCTAGAGTTACCAGGTTGGCAAAACAGCCGCTCTGAAGATTAACTCTCTGAATACCGTTACCTGCCAGAGAGGTTTAAAACATCCTGTCAAGGCCTTATTCCAAATAATACATTAGGAACCAGATATTTGATTTTATGTCTTGTTATCACTTCTCTAAATTCAAATACCAGTGGTAGTTCCTCATTTGCCTGACATCACTTAAGGAAACTCCAGAGTAGCTTAATACATTATCAGTCATTCACATGGTATCATAAAAACCACTTATCCTGACATAAAACCAGCAGACCAACCTGTAAGATTCAGACTCTCCAAGGAAGGACCGACCAGCCCATCCAGGTCTGTTAGCCGGTTCACTGCCATACTCAACCACTGCAAGTAGGGTAACTGAGAGAAAGGTTGCCCTTTGAAGTATGCCACAGCATTATTGTCAACCTACAGAAGACAAGTTTCATTCAAGATTTACCACCAGTTAGTGTGAATGATATTGACAGCCCCAGAGATGTCCTTTTCTAAATGAGTAAATACGAGAGCTCCTTGCCTTCAGCCAGAGCAGCTGGGTCAGAGATGCCAGAGGAGAAAGATCAGTGAGGTGGTTGTTGGATAAATCCAGAAAACGTATGTGAATGAAACTGCTGATTGCAGCGATGTCATTCAGTCCTCTGAGGAGTAAAAGTGATGACAAAGGGTAAATTAGTATAAAATCAAAGACATAGCCACAATTAAAGGAGCATAAGCTGAACTTCAAGTTACAGAGCAAAGGCTGACAATTTGCTTTGAGTATATTTTTTGCCCCCTTACTTGTCTTTTAGGTCCAGTTTGACAAATGCATGTCCAAGTCCATTTCCTGTTCGGCACAGTAGTGAGAGTCCCTGACCTATGGTTTCTTGGGTCAAATGGCAAACCTGGACCTGTGAGATGGAACATATCAAAGGATTATTTTAGTCTGAATTATTGGTAGTATTAACTCAAAGGAGATTACTACAGGACCTCACCAATGTTTCTGTACGGGACCCAGCCCAAACAGTAGCCACCCGTGGAACTTTTTTGCCATAAAAGTGGAGCCTCACATGTAGAACATACTGTGAATTACTTACAAATTATGCTAACTCTAAACTTAAATGCCCATAATCTGAAGTTTTTTTTATTGTTTGTGGGTTTTTGGGAGCAAAATGCAGCTGTCAGGGGCAAAACAGTGGTTCGGTTTTAGGATTAGATAATGCAATCCCCCTTCCAGACACCCCATTTTTTCCTTAAATGTCATACTCCCAACTAACATATAATGCATTTTGTGACAATTTTTGAGACCTGAAGACTTCTGGGACCTTAAAGCCAAAGGAGGAGTGCGAGGGAATCAAGACTTGACCAAATCATGACCTTACTTATGATTAAGATAGGTCAGTGGTTTTCAAATTGGGGTCCATGGGGTGCAAAGCAAAAGAGAATCATTTATTTTCACTATAAGGACAAAATGTATGACTATTTTGGTCATGGGTTTAATACACTTTATGTCATGAATCATCTTAAAGGAAAAATCCTTTCTAATGGGGGACCCTGGAACAAAAAGTGGTTTAATTTGTGTCAGTTCATTGATGTGAAAGAGTTTAAAAAACCACTGTGGTAGGTAATGGGTTGAGACCAGGGATTTTAATGGGAAAGGGAGTGACTTTAATCACTCCACCTGTATAAACCTGTCCCCTGTGGTAATAGGCTGCACTACTGTAAAACAAGTGGGGCGAACACAGCTACTGCCATCGTGGTCGATATTTATTCAGAAGTAGTCTCCCACGTAATCTAAGTTATACCTTCTCGTCCTCTCCGACTCCCTGGTGGGCTTCTTCCTCTCCCTCTACATCCGACAAGACCACGTCTTCATCCATCTCGGACATCCTGGTCGGTTTGGCCAGTAGCGGTACGTTAGCTGTTAGCTGTTTGTTAGCGGGTTAAACTAATAATGGTTAACTGACTAGCGTTAGGTGAGCTAGTTAGGCTAGTAACGTTACTAACGTTAGTTACTTTAGGACGGTTGCCAGGCCTGCCGAGTTGCAGTAGCTAGCTAAGCTGTTCAGCTGAGTTAAGCTTCGTAACTTTACATTACAACCAGTATAAAGACCAACCAACATTAACTCACCACGTAAACTAAAGCAGTAACGTTAGCTAGTGTTTACTCTTTGATAAAGCTGACTGCAGTTTGTGTCTGACGATCCCCACGAGCAAACCGCGTTTGTGGTTGTTGTCATGGAAACTCATCAGCAGCAGGACAACTTGCAGGACAATCAAATGCGCTTTGTAAGAGCTGTACAATGTCTGCAGGTCAAGATGTTGCATTACACACCTCGCAGCAAGAGTTACATTATATTCCTCTTTTTTTTAACCACCGTTTTGCAAAAACACAGCTTTGGAAATTTCAAGTTAAATGTTGAAATATTAGCTACAGTTTACCGGCTTGCCCATACAAGACATCAGTCGTAGAGATTGCAGAAAATGTGTTATTCTGAATTAATTTACATGAGCTTGATGAAACAGTCACATTATTGAACACATACAGAAATAAAAAATAACTTTCTCCAGACATAACTATGTATTACATTGTGAATTCATACCTGCAATATGACAAACGGAGTCACTTTTCATCTACACACTAGTATTAGTGTGGCTCTGTACAGTTCATGAGGGCACAGTCTCTATTTAAAATGTATACACAGTTCATGCCCAGATCAGTCATTCACTGAATGACATGGCATATAGCATTAAATTAAAAAAACTCTATGGTGCATAGACATTAATATTAGAAAATCCCATTTGCTGCCATAAAGACCTATAACTGATCTTTCATTTTCCTACAGCAAATGTTTCCCAACCACATAAAGCTTGTTTATCACTCACACACACACGCTCTAAAGCAAGTGAAAACTCAAAACTGCATCATTCAGGAATAAAGCAAAAAAAGTGCATTCTGTGCAATATCCTGACATCCACTGCTACAGGATCAGTTCATATGAGTGTATTACCACTGTTGAGGTAATTGTAATGTCAAACCAAAATTAAGAGATTTATCTTTAGATATCTACACAATGTTAATGGTGAAGTGTTGCGTGCTAGGCTTCGTCATTGTCCTTTCTGGGTCAGGATGTTGAGACTTCAGGGTGACTTGATCACTCCACTTGCATATTGCGCAATAGAAGCCCCTTTTTCACTCCTCCCTGCAACATCCTGGCACCAAGACTAGTGCCTGTGATCCCATCACTAAAGAGACAAAAAGAGAATAAAACAATGTTGAAAATAAAGAAAATCACCATAAATAGCTCTCTATACAACCCTGATTTAAACAGTACATGAGGAACAATGCATGGTAGTATCCAATATTTTATAAATGAGCACTTCGGCACACCAAACACCGTCAACATGTAGAGTCTTGTTTGTTTGTTACTTTACTGTTGCTTACATTGGGTTAAACCTCCTCTTCTTAGGATCAGGAGTTTCAGGTCCATCAGAAAGTCTCTGCAACCAAAACAATGAAATCAATATTAACTGCATTCAATAACAAAATACCCAACTCCTACAGTCCAACTCTGAGGCTTGACCAACCTCTTTTCCTGCAGCTTCCTGCTGGACTCTTCTTTGTTCCAAGTTTTGCTGAGGGTAGACAGGTTTAGACATGATTACAAGAGGAATGAAATAAGGCTGCAACTGTGTCATTTATAGACACCTTTTAGATAACATATAGTAAAGAATGCATGAGACAATAAAAAAAATAAAAATACAGCCAGGAGTGAACACGTATTCCATATCCTTTATACAATGTAATACTATATTCAAAACGTTTTTATAACTACCTTATGTAGCTCAGAGAGCTGTTGGTGCCTGATGAGGGCCTCCTTGCTGGGGAACTGCCTCCTACACAGCAGACAGGCCAGTTTAACCCAGTCTGTCATTCTCCCTTCCCTCTCATCTCTCTCGCCTCCTTCTTCTTCGCTGTCAGTTTCTCCACTGTAGGCTGGGACCAGGCCCAACTGCTGAGGTGGGGAACGCTATAGAAAAAATATCAAAGATCGAGGAGTAAAAAGACACATAAATAATGATAGTATGCTTGAAAACATGCTTGTAACATCCTCTCTAAAAAGAAATCAGACAAACACAGATACATAACAAGCAGATCACTGTGACCAGGCCCTTACCTCTGCACTTTGTCGGATCTGGTCAAGAAACATCTGAGGCCGTTCAGACAGTGCCCCCTGCAGGACAGAAAAGCAAAATCAGTGGGATCACCAGGTCACTTAACAAGACCTCATCTTGCACTAGACAAGTGGTTATAGGTGCTTAAGTAAGAGTCCTCTGGTTGATGGACACCCCCCTCCCCAGCCACTATGATACCCTGCTGCCCTGAAGGTGCACAAGTGTTTATAGCTGAGCATGTGTGTCTGTGTAAGGGTCATGCACCTTTTTCTCCAGAACAGCATAGCCTGCGTCAGCACTAGCAGATTCTCGGCGGTCATCTAGGCGACTGTGGCCAGGTGCCCTAGTGTATCCAGGTGGCAGCACTGTGGAGCCGACAGCAGGGGAGGAGGAGACAGAACGCATGTTCTCCTTCTGTCTATTGAGACTCTTCGCCCAGCGCTCCATATCTTTGGCAATCTATTAATGTAAACCCCAAGAGATTCAAGTTAGGCATTTAAATTGACTGAACACAGGAAGATTTACAATTTTGAAATGTTGTTTTCCCAAGGGTGGCACAATATAAACAACACATGTACAACATAATGCATTAGCCCTTCAATAAATACTACCTTGGTGAAGTTTACATTTAAAATGTTTTGCTGAGAATGTGTAAGAGGTGTTAAATAACTACAGTAAATTTGGCCATACTATATTAATACTGAACGGAACTGTAGAATGTGTGTACAGGGGTGTTGAATCATACATACTGAAAGAGTTGGTCAAATGTCAGTACTTGAACTTGTATCTAGCATGTAGAGTACCTGTTGAGCAGTTTTATTCTTGGGTTTGTCTTTTTTCTCCTTGCTGCCAGGGGAAGCAAACAGTGAGTCTGAAGGGGCTGCACTCATGGGAGCACCTTCTGCGTTTGACTGGTCAGTAGCAGCAGGAATGTAGGTTTGCTTCTCTCCATCCCAGTACATGTACTGCTGAGTGTGAGGGTTGTAGTAGTACTGCAAAGAGGAGTGGCACACAAAACTAGAGTGAAATGCTGAATAAGAGAACACAAGGAAAAAGGAATTTCAAAAACTGTAGGCTTTATTATTTAGGTCACAGTACACTCTTTACCTGGGAGTTGGGGTCATAGTAGAGTCCTGTGAGTGGGTCGTAATAGTAGCCAGAGCTTTCGTCATAATGGTATGTGGACACATCTGGCACAGCTACAGTCATAGACAAAGGACATTTACCTCAAGTTTAGTGTCGCATTTAAATATTTAACTAACCATCAAAGATTAGACTGACCATTAATCAGCAGAATCATGATTCATACACATTCAAATGAGGACAGAATTAACACTTAGCAGTGACAGGTTTGTTAAGTTTGTAAGAGTGGCCTGACTAACACGTCTGTCAGAAAGCATCTATTTGCAGCTATTAGTGAAGATGTTAATTCAATGCTTTTTTAAAGTAAATTCTTATTTCTTAAAGTTGTTTTTGCCCTCCCCATTTGGGGTTGAATGCCACACTAGATACACAAAGCCTTACGGTATTGCTGAAGCTCGTGTTCAGTGCCCGGGGTAGCAGGTTGGCTGGGAGCAGCTGGTTGTGGTTTTCCCACTATCTCAACCTGTGGAGAGACAGAACTCTTAAAAACAAGAAAGTAATGGCATAAAACAATGCGAGAATACAAGGGTCAAAGAAGAAAATTAAACAGTAATATTGTACCTGTGTGACTGATGTGGTGGTAGCTGTGGTAATGAGAGCTGTCTGTGTATGAGTGAGAGGTTGCTGCACAACTGCTGATCCAGATGTCACTGCCTCAGATAAAAGGGCAGCTGCACGGGGGCAAGCACACAAACGGGTGGCTTGAGTTCTACTGCAGTTCAAGTTCATACAGCAATATAGATCATATGGGTAATATGTTCTGTATACTGGCATATGTGACACCAACCTGAGGCTGCTCCTCCTGCGTATGCCCCCATCAGGACTGCCCCTGCACCAGGCAAAGCGGAAACCCTGGCATCAACCTGGGTTTTGAAAGTCGTGCCGTCTAGCCCAGAGTATTCATTTCCTTCCTGACCGTAAGTTACTGCTGCCCCCTGCTGATACACTGCTGAATCTGTACTCTGGCCTCCACCTGATCCATTCTGAGTGGTCTGGGAATGAAAAGACTTTTAAAACTGAGGCAAAAACACAGTACAAGTACAATCATAAAAAGATGAGTTGCACCCTCGTGTTTTCTTTGCTGTACTGAGTAGTCATTCAGACATGTTACCTGCGTGACAGCCCATTGTGCAGCAGCTATAGCTGTGCTGGCTACTGTAGCAGCACTCACTCTGCTGCCATCCGTCAGGAACACATCACTAGCATGGAAAAGAGGTACAGAGAAGGTTTAAGTGGGTTTCTGGTGACATTTATTTGTGATGCTAGAATGTAACAGTCACTATTTTTAAGCTACTAATTTGTTTTAGGTATTCCAAAGCTGATTCATTTTATTCACATAACCAATATGAGTTTCAATGTGACATTTTGATTGCTGATTCGGACCTACAATATTATTATTGGTGCGATAGCAATGATGTACAGTACTCTTGTGTTTTCTTTGTGGCCAAGTTTGGGTGTGGGAGTGTTTACCGTTTGGAGCCTTTGGCAAACTCCACCACAATAGTTTTCCCGTCAATAGAGAGAGCTGGCTGGAGCGCCTGCAAGATCTGGAGCAGTTGAGATGCCTCCTGTTGATAAAACATACAGAGACCTGTGAGTTAGTGTGGGTGCATTTGTGTTTAATTGCCTATGTG